GATGTGTATTTTCTTGTTGTAGATTTTATTATGCTGTCTGCCCCTTAAAGTGATATATATGTTATTCCAATAGGGGTAAGAATTTGATATTTAGCGCTCCACTGAGTGATCTTTTGGTAGCAAGAATACACTCTGCTGGAATAATAGGAGATGTCATCTGTTCTGGAGCTGACTCATTATCAAATTGCCTGGACAAGGCATCAGCCTTGGTATTTTTAGAACCAGGTCTATAAGTAATGAGAAAGTTAAAACGTGAAAGGAACAGTGACCATCTAGCCTGTCTGGAAGACAAATGTTTGGCATCCCCTATATATGCCAGATTTTTGTGGTCAGTTATGATCAACAGGGGGTCCTTGGAACCCTCCAAAAGATGTCGCCACTCCTTGAGGGCAAGAATAATGGCCAACAGTTCTCTATTGCCAATATCATAGTTGCGCTCAGCAGGAGACATCTTTCTGGAGAAGTAGCCACAAGGATGCAATGGTGTTCCCTGGCTTTCTCTCTGAGAGAGAACAGCCCCTACCCCTGTCTCGGATGCATCAACCTCCAATATAAAAGGTTTACTAGTGTCGGGATGTTTTAGTATGTCCGCAGAGGCAAATCTTTGTTTAAGAGTCTCAAAAGCATTCACAGCCTCTTTGGACCATACCGTGCTACTAACCCCTTTGCGAGTCATATTTGTGATTGGGGCTATTACAGAAGAAAATCCCTTGATGAATCTTCTGTAATAGTTGGCAAAACCAATAAACCTTTGAATGGCTTTTAAACCAGAGGGTAATGGCCAGTGTAGTACAGCCTCTAGTTTTTTAGGATCCATTTGAAATCCCGATGCAGAGATGTTGTAACCCAAAAAGTGGACTTCAGGCTGGTCAAATATGCACTTTTCTAATTTACAATAAAGTTTATTTTTCAACAACGTCTGCAGAACCTGTTTCACATGGGAGTGGTGAGTTTGAAGATCAGGGGAATACACCAAAATATCGTCCAAATAAACCAAGACAAATGAGTAAATGAATTCCCTGAGTACATCATTTATAAAGTCTTGGAATACGGCCAGAGCGTTGCATAACCCAAATGGCATTACCAGATATTCATAGTGTCCACTACGGGTATTAAATGCCGTCTTCCACTCATGATTCTCTTTAATTCTAACCAAATTGTAAGCGCTCCTAAGGTCAAGCTTAGTAAATACTTTAGCTCCCTGAAGTCTATCGAACAATTCGGAAATGAGTGGAATAGGGTATGCATTTTTTACAGTGATTTTATTAAGTGCCCTGTAGTCTATGCAAGGGCGTAACTCACCACCCTTTTTCTCAACAAAAAAGAATCCTGCACCAGCTGGTGAGGATGACTTTCTTATGTGCCCTTTGCTCAAGGATTCTTTGATGTATTCCTCCATTATTTTACTCTCCTGGGGAGATAAGGCATAAACTGCCCCCTTAGGTGGCATAGCGCCTGGAAACAGGTTAATGGCACAGTCATATGCTCTGTGGGGAGGCAATACATCGGATTGAGCCTTGTTAAACACCTCCTGAAGTTCTCGGTATTGTATGGGAACTCCAGGAGTTTGGGGAGTGGTAGTGGGAAGGTCAATAGTATCCAATCTCTTTAGTACTGGTTTTATACATCTCCCCATACACTCTTTACCCCATTCTAATATCTCCCCATTAGCCCAGTCAATATAGGGATTGTGCTTACTCAGCCACGGAAACCCTAATATGATAGGACATGATGGAGAAGTAATAACCTGAAACGTCATCTCCTCCCTATGGGAGGCCCCAATGGAGATCGTAATAGGGACAGTTTAGTGGGTTATAAGCGGTTGTGTGAGTGGTCTACCATCAATAGCCTCTACAGCTAGCGGCGTAGGTCTCTCCCTGACCGGTATCTCATTACCCCTAATAAACTGGACATCAATAAAATTTCCAGCAGCACCTGAGTCCATTAGGGCACTGCAAGAAAACTTCTTGTTATCAAGGGAAATAGATACCTCAAGGAGGAATCTACTTTTGTTTTTGTTAGAGGACAACTCCATCACACCTAAGATCTGTCCCTTAAGGTTCTTAGGTGCGGAAGTTTTCCGGACGCACTGGACAATTAGTTATCATATGTCCCTTTCTACCGCAATATAGGCATAACCCCTCCCTTCTCCTATACTGTTTTTCGGCCTCTGTCTAGTGACCCCCAACTGCATAGGTTCGGGTTTGGACTGTACAGGGAGGTTAGACAAAACAGGTTTAGAGAATTGAGGTGCTAGGGACATAGCCGTATGTCTGGTCTTGCTTCTGGTGACTTCTCTGAGTCTTAACCTATTATCAATATGCATGACAAACGTAATAAATTCGTTAAGACTCTTAGGTAATTCTTTAGCGGCTATCTCATCTAGTATAGTCTCTGAGAGACCCTTTTTGAATGCTGAGATTAACCCATTGTTAGTCCAGTCTACCTCGGAAGCTAAGGTACGGAATTCAATAGCATAATCCGAGATAGACCGGTTACCTTGTCTGATGTGCATTAGGGCAGTGGAGGCGTCATCCTCTCTACCCAATGGCTCAAACGTGAGCTTGAATTCGGCAAGGAATTCCTGGTAATTATGAGCTATGCTCCGATTACTCTCCCACAACGGATTAGCCCAGGCAAGGGCCTTGCACTTTAATTGATTCATTAGATAACCAATTCTTGCTCTGTCCGTGGGGAATGACCCTGGTGAGGCCTCAATATGGTACTCCACCTGATTAAGAAAACCCCTGCATTCCTGGATATTGCCATCAAACTGTAGGGATGGTGATAAGGAGTTGCTAGGAGGTTTCATTTACATAATTGCTGCTCAGCATTAACTCTTCTGTGGACTAGGTTGCTGCTCGGCACAACTTTTCCTGTGTGGACAGTAAATGTCATTAACCACTTTTCTATAAGTGGATGAATACCTGACACCAGGTTTCATTTGCACAATTACTGCTCAGCATTAACCCTTCTGTGGATTAGGTTGCTGCTCGGCACAACTTTTCCTGTGTGGACAGTAAATGTCATTAACCACATTTCTATAAGCGGATGAATATGTGACACAGGGGTCTTGTAAAAGGTCATACAGGGATAGACTAAAGGATTTTATGTTCCAGCTGAGGAAGCCCAATTGGTAAAATGTGTTCTGGATGTTTACATTGTTCTGTGGAACTATTTATACTCTTTTTTTTTTTTGTTTGTTTGTTTGTTTTGTGTAGTTTTTTGTGTCCACAGTGTTTTGTTTTTAACTTTTTACTTGGCAATAAATATTTAATAAAAACCCTGTTGATTTGATCGTGTGTGTGTGTGTGTATGTGTGGTGTCATTTAATATGTCTGTTGGGTTTATGCTATGATGCTACATTTCACTGAATGTGTTATGAATGTGAGATGAATGGTGTTATCCAGTGTGTCTTAAGGAAAAAGGGGGAGGACAGCCAGATAAGTCCTAGTCCACTTCCCACTAGAGGCAGCTGCATTTATTGGCTCTTTTATATGTGAGTTTCCCCTTTTACATTAAGACACATTTTGATCTGGGGTATTGTGTCCCTCTTTTAGTTTGTTTATAGCCCCCCAAAAAATATTTTTTATTAAACCAGATGTAATTATTGAAAAGAATTATTTGTATCCCTTCTGTAATATATTGAATTTGACCATTTGTAAAGTGCCTGCATGAAAACAAACCGTAGCTTTAATATCTGTAATAATTGTGTACAAGGAACTAAGGTCCGCTGTCACTAAGTATTACTCATTGTTCCATTTGATTTCATCCAAAACTTGAACAGTTAAAGTATTTTTAAATAGCTAAGGCCTTGCTTAACTATCTGCTGTAAACATTTATCTATCAGAGATGGATCCAGTTTCAGATACTATCGTTCTTCCTTGGTTGTTTTTTTTATTTTGTTCTTTATGAATTTTCAGTAATTTATAGAATACTGGTATTCTAGGAAATCTAAAGTTCAAATGCTCATATTCATATTTATTAAAGGGGACACTATAGGCACTAAGACCTCTTTAAGTCTCATCTCATTGAAGTGTTCTGGGGGCAGTGTCCCTATTCTCTTAATCCTGCAATGTAAAACATTGCAGTTTTTGATAAACTGCAATGTTTATATTATGAGGTTAAATCTTCCTCTAGTGGCTGCCTAGCAGATAGCCACTAGAGGTGCTTCCAGGAGTTTCACGGATTTTGCCAATCTGTATCCATAAGGCCTGTGCCGGCCCTCCCTGCCTTTGTCTGCCAGCTTCATAACCATGGACTTGTCATTCTGAAGTTATTTCAAAAGCTCTATATCCTGCTTTATTTAAATTCACTTGATATTTGCTGAGTTTTTAACTTTAGCTCTTCCAATTTTTCAAATACAATAATTTCTCCTGAAACGACAATGATAGGGAAGAATGTGGACTTGTTTTTCAAAGTGTTATGGATATATATGGTGTGTTCATGTATATTATTCTCCAAATGTTTTTTTTTTTAAATAGTATTTATTTTACACTTGTCATTTTTGTGTGCAGTTCTGTTGTTTTTGTGCCAACAGTGTGCAATGTGTCTCCCAATAAGAGGTCTATTTAAAAAGGGTTGATTAGACCTAGAATTATAATCAACAATAATATAATTGGCACAGTAGTCCACTGGACTCTTGACTTGCAAGTGAGAGTGTTCCCCCCAGAAATTGGACAAGTTGATGGGGACGACGTGATGATTTACCTCAGGAAATTGATTATGCAGTTTGAATTTTTTTCTGTCATAGCTTGTGCCAACTCAATTAAGAAATAGTTCATTTTTTTTATCTGCCTTCCATAACGTATAGATTGTGAGTCTGTGTATATAGCTTGCAGTTGTATTTGTGTGGTACATAAAATATTATGCTGTAATTTTGAATATATTTAGAATATTCTCTGTAGAATATCGGAAATCTGCATAAAAACCACTATCACCAAGATACACAAAGAATGAACACAAACAAAACTATAAGATTACTTTGCAAGTATTTATACCTGTTTATTTATTATAAATAGTAAATATTTACTGCACTTTTTACATGAAACATATTGCAGCATCTGATGCCAGTAGAACCGGCTACACACAAATAAAATGTAACTTCTTCCATCACCTGTAAGACGAAAGTCTGATCTCTGAGCTATCTATCCTACCTAAAAACCCTAATTTATTACCCATAATTCTTAAAGGAATGTATTTTGTGCCCTACCTCGCATTTCTTGTCAAGAAAATGAAAAAAAAAATATATATATATATATAAATAAAACGGACTGTAATTTCCTTTTGCCTCACGTAACCCAGAACACAACGTCAGCAACTCCATGCCAGGATGATCCCTTGACCCATTTTATTGTGCAGTAAGCTAACGGTGTGTGTGGTAGTAATAGGGCAAGCTGTTTTAAGAAAGAGGTGTGTTGATGTTTACAACTGGCCTAAGACTGGTTGTGCAAACAAACCAATTTATACGCAAAAGAGAACATTATTTACCATAAATAAATCACCACTAGTTTAGAATTCTGGCACATAAATAGGCTATCTTAATATGGAACCGATTGATGAGTTTCAGAACAGTTGCATCCTATCCAAATCCTTTCAAGATAAATGGTCAGTACTTAACAATAGACAGATGAATTGCTGGAATGTCTTTTTTTTAACCATACTGGAAAATAGTTTTCTTTTATAGAAAAAAATATCTAACTAAGCTCAAGAAAGTTCATTGAACAAAATTACAAAAAAACAAAATAAAATACAAATCATCTGAATTCACAAGACATGGCCAAGTAGGTGAAGGTTGAAGTGAGGTATGGTATTGCACATTGATCATCAGCCATAAAATTTTGCATTGGGTTTTCCTCACATGATTATGACTTTTTTTTAACTCCAAATTAATTTGTCAATTATCTAAATAAGTGATCATTTTTCTTAGTTTGTATAACCATAAAATAACATTTATTTAATTAAGATATCTGTTAATACTGGCTATTCTACAATCCTATGGGATGTGATGTTATCTGGAAAACTGGAATGCCATCTAATTAGTCTAAAAGTGGCCAAACTTGACCTTCCAGATCAGTAGTCCAGCATCATCTGCTGTGCCATAGTTTGAACACCCTTGATTTAGCCAAATCAAGCTGCGCAACGACTATACTTTAAGATAACTTGGCACAAAGAAATGTATATCCTTTTCTTCTTAACCTTTCTTGTGGACACGTGCAACATGAAGAAGGTCCCATTATTCTATTCATTTCTAGTGGTTCCCAAAACGGATATACATAATGTCTGAGTTGTCAATAAGGGCAAAAAGGATTAAAAGAAATAGTTTTTCAACATGCTCCCTAACTCAGTTATGTTTACGGTTTGTCCTTTAATCTTCTTTGTGTGAAACCAACGGTGAGGGCAAAGGCAACAATGCAGTTTATAAGACTGAGTCAGACCTCTGTTGAGTTGTAAACGGTGTGTGGCTTCTGCAATACGAATGTTTCCTCAGTTCCTGGAGTCAGATATGTCCATTTAGCATAAACACTGTACGTCCAGCACAGCAATAAACACCCATATGCATTGAAGCATCTCCCATGAAACATACTACACTCTCCGCAAAGTAAAGCAGAAATGTCCATTGTTGCTTTTTTGTCTCTGTCTTGCAGTTGGACCCCAGATGGTTCTATGAATTGATAAGATTTTTCCATCCTATCCAAGCTTCTGAATATATCATTACTTCTGGAGGAACTGCTTTTATGCAATGTCTGGCTTCAGATAATGAAAGGCACCTGCGGGTAAAGAAATGGAGAAAGATGTTTAGAAGAATTAAGACCACTTCACTTCAAAAGACAACCTGAACCATAGGTTGACATTGTCACATGTAATACTGTGATATTAAAGAATAAGTCTAATATTTTTATTCCTGGGACAAGTTTGACAAACTCTTCAGAATCTGGGATCATATACGTTAATGACTCTTGAACAGACTTGATTAAAGACATGTGTTTTTAATATGGGGCATGCCCGTGGTTATTGCATGTCGGGCAAAACCTTCTGTTTTACCTAATGGCGGTCAGGTCTCATGTCTCGGCACGTAATCACCTCAAGATGTCTTTGACATCACTTAAGAAAATAATTATGCAACAGATGTTTTGGAGAGAACAATCAACGAGTACCGGAGACAAAAGAGACTCAGTGAGAAAAAGAGAGTCATCAAGCTTCTATTGGAAGCCACAACGATTATTGTTTTCAGTTTTTATCAGATAAACAGTCAAATCACTGCCCTTGAAAAAAGTGGGACAGTTGAATGGGAATAGTTAAACTATAGTTCATTCTCAGAAGGGGGATATTTAACCAGATGTACGTGATCTAGAATGTCTTTCTGAACTTTCAGCCTCTGTGGTTCATGTACGTATGTAGAGACAGATACAAATCTATAGCCATATATGCATACATGCATCTTTTGAGATATATATATATTTATGTGTGCTCAGTGATTATTTTTAAATCTTAATTTTCTGTGCAGTAATTCATTAAACTGTGAATTATCAGAAATTCACCTGGGAATTGCAAATTGTAGGTTAAATAGCCAAGTTGGTAAAAGAATTCCCTATAACCTAGAACGGGGGTAGGCAACCTTCCGCACTACAGATGTTGTATCCCATAATGCTCCTGCAGCTATAATGCTAGCAAAGCATCAAGGGAGATGTAGTTCACAACATCAGGAGTGCAGAATGTTGCCTCCCCCGTTCTAGAATATACTGCAATACAAAGAATGTGCATGCATGATGTCCACATGACTCCTCTGTGCGCAGTATAAATTCATGGGAACCACATATGCACAGTTGAGCCACGAGTGTTTTGTCATTCATTTGATAAGAAAGAATGGTAACCACTTGGCTAAACATTTTCCTTTGGAATGACAGTTATACAGAAGTTGGTTCTGGCACATGTGTGTTTTTCTGCTCTGCCAGTAGTGTTGCCAGATCCATCATGTTTGCTTCTGGACACATGTCCCATATACTTCTTGAAAATGAACGCGTGAATATGTACTATTCTTATGCAGTAAGAGGAAAATGACTAATTGTTGAGGAAATCAGCAGTATATAAATTCTACATACTGCAGAATAGCACGTTTTATATGTAGTCCACTAACATGTATCAGTGATCTGTGTCTAGGAAAACACTGTGGATGGTGTGTCCCTTTAATTGAGGCATCATGCACCCAGCAAAATTACTCATGTAGATACTTACTCTGTCCATACTGTCCATACTGATAGCCTGTTACGGGTTCCATGCTGTATCCTGATGTGCTGTAGGTAGGTGGGCAATATGACTGTGATGTTGATAGACTATCCAAACTCTTCATGTGATCTAGTCTCTGGCTGCAGCTTGCTGATACAGCAGTGGTGGGCTCCAGACCTCCAGTTAAAGGTGATAAGGCATAATCCGTCTGAGGTTGATGAGGCACTCCACCGTGGTTAGTCAGGAGTCCCATTACCTGTAAAAGGGTAGATGACATAATGAGCATAATTCATTTATGATGATTCTTTCAAAATTACCTCCAACTTGATAGATACAATGACAGGTGCATACAATAAGTTGTTAAATAGGCAGACAGGCAGATTTGGAGGAAAACAAATAATCATAGGTTTAATTAACATTAGCATTGAAAACAATTCTCATTGTGTTTCAAAAAACAGATGGTAACCCCTTAAAAATTATCTTTTAATACTGACTATATTAAGCCACATTGATATAATAATGAATTATAAGGTGTTTACTTAAAATAAAGGAAACCTCCTTATAACTCAGTGTTGCACTTTTAAGTTTGTTTGGAGTTTAGTGCTCCAGTCCCACTGTATGTTTTGTTAAAGGGACATTATAGTCACCAGATTTACTACAGCTTAATGTAGTGGTTCTGATGTCTATAGTCTGTTACTGCAGGATTTTCATTGTAAACGCTGCCTTTTCAGAGAAAAGGCTTTCTTTAAATTAGTATAAAACCAAGACAATGAGTGAGCGCTGAATAACACAAATAAGCAGCAACCCTAAAAGGGAATCCCTCAAAAACCCTTAAGGATAAAAAACAAAAAATACAGAAAAAGGGCTGCCCTTTTTCTGTATTTTTTTTCTTTAAATTAGTCCCTAGTAATATATCTCACTCAAGTGGCAACAAGAAATGCTTCCTCTCTCAGTGCTGCACAGTGTGCTCTGCATGAATACGCTAAACTCTCCCCATAGACATGCACTGATTCATTGCATCTTTTTGAGGAGATGCTGATTAGTGAAGCATAGAGCAATAGTGTCCCAGTTCTTTCCTATGGGAAAGAATTGGATTGGCTGAGATCATCAAGATTAATGATCTCAGCCATTGAGCCAAAACTAAGCATGGCCAGTAGCGGCGAGACCGGCGCAGCGTGGGAGAAAAGGTAAATAAAATCACCTTTCAGCGCGAAGGGAGCAAGGCCGGTCATTTACAATGCCACATCAGGACTATAGTGTCAGGAATACGTATGTTCCTTTCTTACATTTTTTGGCTTCCTTGTTGGACAGAGATGTGTTTTGTAGGGGTAACTGTAAGCACAATGAGTACTGTATACTCTGCTATAATAGGGGCTCTAGTGCTCCAGGAATCTACCTGCACTCAATTAACATTTCAATAATTTGATTTTCCTGCTTTTGTCTGTTTGAAGGCTAAAAAGGGAAGTAGCCCAAGGCTTCAAGACCTCAGTATTTTTTGTGCCTTGACCTTTTCACCTGAACAGAGAGTGAAGGGAAGGGCACAGTCACCTCGGTCTAATCCCTTTTACAAAACTAGTGAGTATCTACTTAGCAATGTTTCCTGTTCAAACCAGGCTTGTGCTTATTGGTTGCAGAGGCAGAGTTCTAAGCATTTATCTTGCCCGATAGAACACAATGTCAATATTCCGGAATGTGACACTCTCTTGACGTGATAGGCTCATTATATAGAATTGCTTTCATTTTATTAGCTCCTTCATACCAATATGGCAATGATTTAGACCTGACGCCTAAATTATTGTGCTGCATTCAACTGACAAATATGCATATATCCCTTTTTCACTCGTATAACGAAGTAGACTTGTAAAGTTGCATGTCTGCTAAGTTACACAGATATGTGTCTAATTCTGGCTACAACAGTAAGAGTATCAATCCTTACAATGCATTGTATGTTATAGTCTGTCCTAACTGAATGTATCTTGTGGTCCATCATTTGTTCAGTTGTCAAGATATCTGATCAGGAATGATGAAGTATAAATAAAAGCATTTCTCAAATTTTTGATTACATCAAGCTATATATGTTAATGTTACCCAATTCCTGGTATATGTTCTTGAAGAGAGAGCTGACCTTGCCAGGAACAGAGCCCATGACCTTGAGGTTTGGACAGGTATTAACAATGCTACACTGGTGTATTAACCATATGAGCCATTGATTTATTGATTTGTTATTGTTTTTTTAAAATTTTTACTAATGTATAGAATGTAAAGGATCGCTTAATAAGCTACACTTATAAATATTACTACTATAATAAGGAATTTAAAAATAATAGATTTTTTTTTAACTGGCTAAATACACACCTTACATAAGAATCATTTTAAAGAGATAATATTTACACAGTAAGAAAATTCATGTGCATGCTTTATAAATCCTTATAGTGTCTCGGGGGACCTTTTTTGTATTAAGTGTTTGTGTTTTCAAGCTACAAAGGGGTTAACATAGTGGCTACTAGAATTTGTGCTCAGTTCATATTTGACCCTAACACATGTGTAGCGTGTAATTTACAGAAGCTCTCTCCACGGGAAGCTGGGCATGTCCTGAAGATGTCCGGAGCGTTGCTCTATTGTGATGTGAAACAGATGCCGCTCACATCCCCCTGTTCTAAGAAAAATGGTGCCACCTGCTCTTTACTATTCCCTCTGCACGGAGCGCCTTCAGATTCCAGAGCCATGTTCACACGGGCATGAATCAAACGCTGGCACTTTATATCCCTTGTAAATTGATACAGATATCTCCATCGTATGCACTTCATCTGAAGCACGCATCACTATGATTTGTGTCTACATGTCCTATTAATATGGATTAAAGAGTAGAGGAATCTCAGTGTGAACATGGGGGAGTCTGAGTATCTGTATCCTAAAGGAACAGGCTGTATGTAACTTTCTGGTTTAGATTTTTGGTGAATGAGCAAAATGGAAATAATTAATAGAAACATGAAGATGTATGTAATGGCATGTCTGTATGTAACACATATACATATATCAGAGGTTCTGAGTCTACGACCTAAGAATGTCATGTCATGTACCAGGGGTTGGGGGTATTGACCATCTAATGAAGATACTTCATGTACCAGGGTCAGGGATATCTACTATTTAATAATGTCGCTTCTTGTAACAGGGGTAGAGTGTATTGACCATCTAATGAAGATACTTCATGTACCAGGGTCAGGGATTTCTACTATTTAATAATGTCGCTTCTTGTACCAGGGTTGAGGTTATCTACCATCTAATGATGTCAGTGCATGTAGGTTGGAGGTTTCTACCATCAGCCATGTGCCCCAGAAAGAAAAGCCTAAAGTTCATATGAAGTTTGAGGAAGCAGAAAATCCCTAGTCTAAATGGAAGTTGAGGCTAAGTATGTACAGAAGGGAAAGATATCATTAGTTGTATCTGTCTGATCATTGAGGGACATGACATTTCTGCAAGGCCGGAGCATGTTTTGACAGAGTTATTGCATGAGAAGAATGTAGGATTACTGTTCTGCTATGGTTTATTAACACCAAGCAAGCCAAACATTAACACTGTCTCCAGCCTTCCAATAGAAGCTTTTGCACACTTGTATTGTCTCTTAACCCCTCTCTGATGGGGTTTACTGTGCATTTTCAGACAGTGTTTCCCATTCTGTGGCAATCTTCGTGCAGGACAGATATGTTTTACTGATTTTCCATGGAACATACTGTAATTACATCACTGTTTCAAAAGATCACTTTGTATTATAGTGATGTCAATCCCAATGCCCTTATTATTCATATTATTCATATTAACACACTACATCTAATTCATACTTAAACAATGAGATCACCTTTCATAATTTATTTGTCACTCTAAATTAAGTTGAATTTCACAAAATGAGGCCGTTTAATACATAATGTTAATAAAATTTAATTATGGGGTTGACTATATTTGCAGAATTTAGGAACGTGTATGAGTTTTAGGAATTAAAGATACATGGAATTCTACATAAAATATGTGAACATTTGTTGAGACAGAAAGTCCACGGGACAATAATGCCAACTGCTGAAAATATGTAGATGTAGAAAAATGTCAATCTTGCTCATTGTTTGTCACCTGACTTGTGGTAATATGATTTTGTCAGGTGTTTGCCATCGTTAAGGCATATAAAAGTCACAAAGTGCCACCTAGATATAGTAAACAATATATATATGAAATCTGTTATCTGAATGCTCTTTCCATAAATGGTCTCGACGAGCAAGATTTCTAGTCTCCTAAACACCAAAACCATAAAATGTTCAAAACAAAAATGAAAAAATGTCAGAAAGAAAAATAATAAATAATAGTATCTTGACTGTAGTAGTTGACATGTTATATACAAATGTTGATATTGTCTTTATATTTTTCTCTTCCGTAACAAACAAAAAGTCACACTGAATATCCAGTATATTACTATGATCTCTGAGATCTGTCTAACTGCTCTGTATGCTGATGAGTTAACCAGAGAGATCACAAATACTTTATCGTTTCAATGACCTTTGCAGGTGGTTATGTTTGGAATTTATTGATTGTATTTCATCTTAACTAGTTATTAAGTGGTTCCCAAACTCAGCACGTTGAACATGTCCCTATAACATGTGGTCGAAAACCACTTTTTTTTTTCCAATGTTGGAAAATGGACGCAGAGGGGCAGTAGGATATTTATTACAGGTTTTTGTTCTGTCATCTGCTTATACTTTTGCTTTGTTCTTCCTGATTTACCGCATACATATAAATGTTAAGAAATGATTTAGTGGAAGCCAAGTTTAAAGCTCTATGTTATATTTAGCTGGAGTTTGGAAGCCATCACTGTCTGCATTACGTGTGAGTCAGGAAATTCAAATACTGAACCTCCAATTGTCCTTTCACTGCAAATACAACAAACATTTGCCAATTTTAAATCATAGCAAGTGGCTGCCAAAGATTCATGGGAGTTATAGTCATTTAACCACTGAAGCTACTGTATTTGAATACACAAGGTCTAAATTCTACAAATGTCATCATAAATACTTTTCTATACAAAATGATACTTAATTAGTCCATATAGCACAGCATTTATACAATAAGCATTTAGTGTAATTTATTCTTCTCCCATTATTTCGTGTGAAATGAGATTAGCAGACAATATTCATGAACTTTAGTCAGTTCAACTAACAAATATATTTTCACCTTCAGGTACATTATTTAATGTAAACGAGTACGACTACAAACACACAAGATGGATGTGTTTTAACAATTCATTTAAGAAAGTCTATTAATTCTCTATAGGATCATTTAAAAAACAAAACTGTAAAATATATGAAAAGATGAGATTAATCCATTTCAAATGCTTAGTCCTTCAAACAATTCAAAGCTGGTACGTTTGGACTTCCTGTTAATGTGCAATAGAAAACTCGGAGGCTTAATTACATTTACTGCTCAAGGCCGATTTTATGAGAATTTATATTTATGCCTGCAGGCAATAATGTTTATGCCACTATATTTTAATGTTCGTCCTGTTTTAACTCGAAAAGTCCTTTGAACTGTATATTTCCATAGATTTATCACTGTCTAGCAGAGAGTAACTGTGGCTCTCAAGATGCAAACTTCACGTTGAGGACAGAGAAGAGACGTGAGTCGTTATTTTGGCTCCCCTTTGTGCCATTAAAATCTCATTTTCTGCCTATTAGGATGCCCTCTTACTGCTAGAGCCAGGCTGATGAGTGTGTAATTGAGTATAATTGTCTTTTCACTTTTCATTTATGTCATATTGAATATTCCCTCTGTTTCCTCTCAATGCCGAGAGGGAGATGTGTTTGGGGAGGATACATAGCTGTGAAGATGCCCCCACTTAGCCCCACAAAGAACTCTGATTTTAATTATAGATTGCACGCCATTCTGTGAAACTATTAGACACCTGAATATTAGCGCTCTGATATAATAAAAATCTCTGTGTTTAGGCGTACATTAACAATGTCAAGTCAACCTCAGGCAGATGTGGACCGTACAAAATTCAACCAACCTTTTGACACTTAATTACCAAGTCAATTTATTTTCCTGGAACTCCCAAAACCATCCCCCATCCTTTAAATGAAAATTAACAGTATAATTATGGCTTTAAGAAATGCACAGATTCCCATGGTGCAGTTATTGTGCTAATTTATAAAAGCCAAGCTTTCCAGCATTTATTAATTCTTAGTAATAACTCCATGTACTCATCTGTAATTATAACGCATCTCTCAAAACAAAGCAGATATTACACAACAGAACACAGTTTGTTTGTAATAACTTTAAAAAATGCTGTTTCTAGGATACCATGTTTGGGAAATACTATTAATGGGCATGCTTAGTGATAACTGTCAAAGACTCTATAGTCCAGGGGATAAGCAACTTACTGACAATGACAATGCAGAGATAGGTTGTTTCCTGATTCTGACTTGGTTAGAACATTCACACCTTCTTGATGTCAGTAGGGTGGTCAATATGCATGGTAAAATGACTTTGGCACTAAAAGTGTTACACAAATCAAATAACACAGGGTGCTGTTAGAAGACACAACGGGGCTATGTACAGAGACCAATTCTGGAGAAAACTTGTAAATATGGACCGACTACCATGTAAACCAATATTATGATTTTGCTTATTGCACTGCTTTGGCAAGGATTACAGTACTTTACATATTGTTTATTTGAATATTTGAATCCAGCAACCATCTCACTGGCATGTGTTCAGGTAATAGAGGAGAGGGGTACATGAATATTCTATATCAATGTGCTTTAAGAGCAAAAAATTCACTCTGTGAATTCTGTGAATTCTGTAAATATCACCAAATATAATACATCAATTCACACACTATTGGGGCATGATAATTTGTGGACCAATGGTTTCACAAGTTTGGCACCTACACAGACAATATGAAATGGGATGACACTGGGACTCCAACATGACTATACAAGGCCTGTGAGTGAAAAATTCATATTGGTCACATATGATTTAAAAAATGTATATAATGTATGATGTGTCAAATGCATTCAGCCATGTTGTAAGTCTTCATTCTGAAAAATACGTAATTTTGTGATATGTGCCATGGTCTTTTAAATGAAAAGAAAAGAAAACGTAAATAACTTTTTGGGCTAAGCTAAAAAAAATGTATTCTTTTTATTGGCTGAAAATATTACTATAAGTGCACATGATAATGAACTTGTGTTGATAGGCCTCTAATTTACATTGTTTTGGTCATATGCCTCGTGGCCAGCCTTAGTTGTATCTTGAGAAAGGTCCTTGTTATTTTGGAAAGGGAGGGGGGGCTGAAACTAGAAAGACAGCCTACCAGCTATTGCTTTTGAAGTAACCAATGTGGGGGTGGAAGAGGGAAAAATAAAGGAAGGAAATTTGTAAAATGAAATCATGTGGCTCATATAAAGAACACTTTATGGTTCGAATTTGGCAATTTCTTCCCTTCTTGCCTGGGGGACTTAGCCTGTTCAGTTCTGGCACTCAGCTAAAGGAATGAAAACACTCTACTGACCTGAGGTGAAAGGCCGTTGCCAATGGCGGGGTTCATAGGGTTGGAAGGTCCAGATGGGGGCACAAAGCTGTCGGTGTAGGTAGAAAATCCATGCCGGCCGCTGGGCAGGCAGTAGGCCGAGCTGCTCTCAGAATTGGAAGGAAGGCCGCTTTGGTGAACGCTGCTTGGAGGCAGCGGCTGGGGTCGGTGAACAGTATTGCTGGGATCTGACACAGCTGGAAAAAGAGAGAGAACTTGTTAACCCTACATATTTTCGGATTTCCGGTAAGTATTTTTTTTTACTTTTTTGAACACATCCCTTGGAATTTCTAGCACACGCAGAGTTAAATCAAACAGGCCCTTTGACTGCATCATGAGGTTCTAATAAATTTTTGCAACCTCCCTTTCTTGTTTGTTTAATTTGGTGTAATCTATGTCTCTACACTAATATCCTTTCTAACAAGGGTTAAGAGATAATGGACTTATGGAACAACTCCCATAACAAATTGGTGGCAGCCATAAAAAAGAAGAAATATGATACCTTTCAGAATAAAAAAATCATACTGAAAGTATAAAAGTAATCAATCAGTCCCTGTGGGTTCCAAAACTACTGTGCCCTTTTGCTTCTAAATCTGTGCTATTCCTTTGTTTTTCTTTCTTTCCTATCCATCTACATGTGCCAAATTTTTATTCACTTTCAGGCTCCATTACCGTGCTCTCTGTTGCTATGAATTGGATGTTTACAGATTTATACCAAATGCTCTTCCCAAACAAAAGCTGCTACAGAAACTTGTTTCCGTGCAGAGATATCAGAATGTAAAAGTTTTATTTCCAGAGGTTGGCATTAAACACAAGAAGCTGATTCTATCTGTTACAAAATTACATATATACAAATGGTTTGGTGCCTCAAGCAAATATGAACGTGGGTATGATTTTTGGGGATATTACAAATGTATTTTCAAATTGAATGGCTGCTGAACTAGCTTTGTGGTGGTGTTATAGAGCCTTGTGGTATAGTCATGGAGCATTGGGATGAAGACCTCTAATTCTATTGTATCATGCCAACCTTCACTGCAAAGTTAAAGGACCACTATAGGCACCCAGACCACTTCAGCTTAATGAAGTGGTCTGGGTGCCAGGTCCATCTAGGGTTAACCCTGCAGCTGTAAACATATCAGTTTCAGAGAAACTTTAGGGTTTACTTTAGGATTAATCCAGCCTCTAGTGGCTGTCTCATTGACAGCCGCTCGAGGCACTTCCGCGCTTCTCACTGTGATTTTCACAGTGAGAAGATGCCAGCGTCCATTGGAAAGCACTGACAATGCTTTCCTATGAGACTGGCTGAATGTGCGTGCGGCTCTTGCCGCGCATGCGCATTCAATCGATGATGGAAGAAGAGGGAGGAGAGTCCCAGCACCGAGGAAGCCCAGTGCTGGAAAAAAGGTAAGGGACTAACCCCTTCCTCCCCCTTCAGCGCCACAGGAGTGGAACCCTGAGGGTGGGGGCATTCTCAGGGCACTATAGTGCCAGGAAAACGAGTATGTTTTCCTGGCACTATAGTGGTCCTTTAAGCGTCAAATATAGGGAATCAGATCCTTCTTAGCTGTTACCTTGTGGTATGGAAGTTGGCTGGTATGAAGACTCTGTTAACTGGTAGGTTGGCAATGCTGGCATTGCTGCTGGTGGGAAGGCCCCTGGGATAAGATGGTTGAAGGCCATGAGCTGATTAGCTCCTGCTTGCTTTCTCCACCTTGCCCGACGATTGCTAAACCACACCTGAAAAGACATAATGAGCCAGCGTAAACAACATTCCAGACTTCATAAATGTGTAACTCAGTGACAAAACATATGCATTAACAATTATTCTAGATTTTTTTTTCTAGTTACACAGTAAAGTATCGAGAATAGATCACGCTGATAAGCCTCTTAATAACGTATTTAATGACATAGGGTGTTGTTTGTAAACCAGGAATTGCAAAGAGTCAACAAAGTTCAAAATGTAGGCCAAAATAGCAGACATGGAAACATTTTAAAGAATTATTTTCTACTTTAGCTTTAACATTTGCAATTCCCTTTTTAATTCTTCATAGTTTGCATTTTAGTGAATAAACCCATAGGAAAGGTTGACGTGGAACATAACAAAAAATATTCTTAGCACACATGTCCTAAATAATAAGAGGAAGATTGGATGCCCACCACTACTGTATTTTATTTTTGATTGCCATGTGGCTACAGTAAAACGTAAAGAGGCAATTTGGTTTATTTGCTGTACCGCTCAGATGATATTTTACAATTGTAAAGAAAGTGTTAGCTGGATTTTAGGTCTCTGAAGGGAGGGGAATTTAAATGAATACAAACGACAATATTGTTTCAAATGTTCAGTAATTGCAAGGGCCTTATATATTTGAATGTATAACTCTACTGCTAAAAAACATAAACATTCGTACAAGTTCATATTTTTGTACGAAATAAGATGTCTGTGGCTGATTTGAAACTTTTTTCAGCATAAACCGTCCCACATTCAGAATGGCTAAAGATGAATGGGTTAACTCACTTAATACATCCCTGCATGTATTCCATATGTGATATGACTTGTCCGTTCCTTCTATAGCTTTCTAGATATGTTAATGCATGGGTTGGCTGATGTTCCTTTTGTTTGGCCACAGTATTATTGATGTGTGTTTTGTATTTTGTCTGCTGAAAAAAACAGCTGGATTCACAGGCCGCTGGAGAGCTATAGCGGTTTTAATGAAAAGCGGCAACTTGAAAACAAGTCTTATACCATTGATGGTGGTTTAACTCTTCAGCCGCTTGCTGTAACGTGATGCACTGCGCACCCCTTTAAAGCAGCAAACCTTTTTTTTTTATAACTTGATTGACAATGATATGCCACTCCATGCTGTGCTTCCTAAAAGACCCATATGTTGGATGTTCAGGAGAATTTGTTAGGCTGTAGATCATCGTAATAGTGTGACAGGTTATGAGTCCCCAGGGATCTGAGGAAGCCACAAGGAATGTTGTGAAGTCAGAGGGTTAAAGACACATTACAACAGCTGGGGAAAAGCTCCTGCATTTGCCTGGTATGGGTCACTGACTTACAAAAATATATGCTTTGGAAACACAGCCACATTTATTATCTCTGCTCACATTATGGGATTTGTTTTTTACCCTGATTTCCCCTCTTCTTCGATCCATCTTTATGCCATAAATTACAGTGGAGTAGGAAATAAAGTTGGAATTTGAAGCAGAGTTACTGAAGGACAGGTCAGGGTCATTCCGTTCAAACGTCTGCCGGGAACTTATCTTCCCATTGCCTGCCTTCTTCATGGCATCCCACATGAACACTAGCACATATAGGAAGTGAGATTAAAGTGGATGGACCAATGAAATATGAGCCTTTCGGAAAGGACAACATACAAATAAAATACAGCTGCTCCTATGTACATATGGGTTTTTATAGCTATATTCACAAGGAACCATGCTGGAATGCACATCGAAGTCATTTGCTCCTAAGAAAGTCTTCATCATACCATGATTGTTTTCTTTTAATACAACAAAATTGCATGATAGTTTTACAGATACAGATAGGAAAGAGGGGGTCACTGCATATTACCTGCACTCTTGCTTCGGTCAGCTTAGCTCTCTGAGCCAGTTCCTCACGTGTATAAATATCAGGGTAATGGGTTCTTTCGAATGCCCTCTCTAGTTCCTCTAGTTGTTCTGCGGTGAATGTGGTCCTGCTTCTCCTCTGCTTCCTTTTCAAAGGAAGATCTGGCTCCGAGTCAATGTCAGATCCTTCCTCAGACTGAGGAGATGAGGGAGCTGAAAGGAAAAGAGGAGTATTGACATGAAATGCCATCACAAACACAGAATGATTGTTCATAGCATTTTTAGCATTCTGTGGACAATGTAGAAGTTTTTAGCTTCTATCACTCTTCTCCTTGTGTCCATCGATGGCTTAATACGTCGATTAGCAGTTAGCAAATATCAGCCTCAAATATTGCTTCATTAAAAATAAAAAATAAAATATAGACTTACATATAACATCGTGAAATAAATACAATAAACATTTTAACTCTCTACAGTCCATCAGGCGGTGACAAGTGATGAATGAATTATTCAATAAAACTGACTGCGATGAAACTAAAGGACATGCAAGGTCTGTTAATATAACTGACTCCAGTATTTTAGGTGGCACAAGTGACAACATTTAAATGGCCTTTGTCTTGTTATAGATCTAAAAAAACAAAATAAACATTGTGGTGCATACATTCCCATGATTTTTTTAAAAAGCATATGCTATCATAATAGTGATAAATCTATTAGGCATGTTCTACTTTCTAGATAATTGACATGGATTGCTCTGGACGATTTGTAAATCCAGTTACAAAGTTAAATGGTTAAAAGAAAAATCAATTTGTATTCATTATCAGTTCTAAAGCAAATGTGTAAAAGCAGAACAATCTCTAAAGAAACCAATAAAAATTTACTTTAATTTCTAAACTTTTAAAACTTTTTTTGTGGAAAATATAGGCTTGCCCTTCATACATAACCCCCAACATCCATGAAGTAAATCCATTCCAAATACCAATATTTGCTCTACTATATGGGGTCCCTAGGCATATTTTTAAATTGTTCATTTAGTAACAATACCCACCTCTCTGATCATTTATCATAAGCTGTGTTGTAAAGTGTCCCATTGATATAATATTGTGTTCTAATTTGTCCCAAAGATGATATTATTTGTTCTAATGTTTCCCAAGGAAAATAGAATTTTCTAATGTGTCTCAAGGATGAAATGTTATGTTCTCATGTGTCCCACATGTAAAACATTGTGTTCTAAAACAACTTTGAGATAAAAAAAAATATGTATTCTAATGTGTCCCTAGGATAAAGTCTTGATTTCTAATGTTTCTTAAGGATACACATATTGTGTTCTAATGTGTGTCTTACAAACTATGGGAAAAACACAGAATTTTTATGTGACACTTGAATGGCCATATGTACACATTTGCAAAACAAACAGAATCTTTGTAGTAAAGCCCCATGGACAGAAAATAACATCTAAAGATCTGGCCATAGCCTATAAAATAGGCACCAGAGACCAAATTTGGCCTGGTGTTGATTCCTCTCCGATTCAAAAGCTATTATTTATCTTTTCAATGTACTCATATCTTTCCAGCACATATTACATCATCCCATCTATCCCAAGGGAGATTTCACAAGTGCATCAGGCTCTAAAGTGTAACAAGACACATCACAATCAATTCATGTTATTTTACAAGCTTGAATACCCTCATCTTGCTTGGATTATTAATTATCCCTAATCTAGTTACTAAACTGACTGTATCATTCAAAGGAAGCTATCTTGCACATCAAACAGTTCAATGATAGTTTATTTTAATAAAATGAGAAATTATAACATGACAGTGATTCAGATGTATTCATATGTTGAAGATTTTAGACATCAGATTTTCTATTTGAGTATTACTGCAGGCCACACCATTATGAATGCTTTTATGCGCGAGCATGATGCAATGGTCTTTTTTTTTTTTTACTTTTTTTTGTTTTACTGATTTTAATAGTGCCCTAATTAAAAGGAGAAAATGGTCACCCTATCCTGGTGTCTTTTGTGCAAAACAAAACAATTTATTTAGCAAATAAATATGATTAAATGCATGTAACGAAAGGTTTTGGATTCCTGATCAGTGCAGTGTACTAAACATTTTAATAAAAAATACACAATTCGTGTAGTTCACGGGTCATATCATTGTCTTCTTTATGGACTAAATACTATTTAATAGAGGTTGATTTTCTTTTAAAGCATATTAGATCCATGGACCTTATTTCTATGCTAGAAAATATAACTTTGCAGAATTGCACTAGGGTTTTTATTCCTAAACTTTTCATATTTTTGAACTATGTACCAAAGTCTCTTAGCTACTGACCTAGATGGAAACAAGGATGCAATAGTATGAAAGGCTAACATGCTCTTATGTATCTACTTGAGGCTTTGGATCTATTGGACTTTCTTTTCATCACTAGCAAAACGAATCCACAAATCTTGTGCTGGGTTGTGCAGAAAGACTTTCTTAAAACTTGTTGGTTGGAAAAGTTTGTTTTCCCTCTTTTTGCTCAATCAAAAATAAAAAGGTTCCTTTGAAATTAGTGTTTAATTTCAGTTGATCCTACGACTTCTAGCATTAGACTGTTTACCACTTTGTACACTGGACTAATCAGCAAACTGTGAATGATTCTCAGTTCATCTTTATTTAGCCACAATTAATCTATTTTTATTCCACCCAGGATGCATTCAATTACTGCTCCTCATGTGACTGGCTCTTGATGACACTGAGCTGCAATCCTGCGCAAAGCAGTTTCTTTCTAAAAAGAAATATTTCCTCAGGCAGCCGACCAGGTCACAAGGGGTTATGGGACATGGAAGCAGCATCTAATTCTGGAACTTCTTTTAATTAAACTTCACAGTCAGTGCGATGCTGCCACTTATTCTTAAAAGGCTGGACTTTGTAATCCGGTAGGACCAGCTTCAGATAACTCTTCTGTCCTTGATCTCATTGTTAACAAAATCCCTTTTCTGAATCATTTTTTAACCATTACTAAACCATTCCTTAGCACCCTGCGGTGTATACCCGTCTTGCAGCTAAATAGTTAAATGCCTGAATTATCAATTATCTAATCAAGCAGCAGTTCCATCAAAAGTCAAAATCGTTGCTAACCTGAAACAAATGGAGCCTTACACGGACTGCGGCAGTTTTTTTTTATTTTTTTAACTCCACTATTGCCACATTCCCTAGCCCATCTGATTTAAATGTAAGGAAGGTTTGCATTGAACTTGTAACCTTTTAAAATATGTTTTGGATTATTGATATAGAAGAATCAAATTTAATGGCCGATAACTACTCAGTATACTTATTGTACTTATTGTTCATTTTTTCTTACGAACTGTAAAGCCTCAAAAAAAATGTTATCAGTTGCATTGAGTGATAACATCATGGCAAAATACCTATCCTACATATTTTTAGTGACTTCTGCTGCCCATTTATGACGTCTTCTTATGGTTTATTTTGGGGGTTGAGCCTCCACATATGCCACTTTAGGACTGTTCATTTTAAAATTAGTCATTTTAGAAATATTTCAAATGAAGTTTACTAACTATTTTAATCACATGCTAAGACTGTATTTTACCATGCTAAGATATTGGATTTGAACCAAGTTGAAGACAATATCCTAATTTATTAATAATGCTGCATATTTGTGAAAATTCCAGTTCTAACCTGCTAAATCATTGGTGCCCTAAAGGTAGATGAAAAGTCTGGCAAAGCATCATGGGAATTGTAGTTTTACTATGAATCTACCTTTTGGACAGCCCTGTCATAGATAACATTACCTAACATTCTACTGTTTTCCTTTGAAACAAAGTGAAACCTCTCTGACCTTCACTAATTCATTGGGGGTTGTGTTCTGTATCTGATGGTGCATACTCTATACAAATTCTACCAAAACTACCTACATATGATCAGGGTAGATTCGAGTTAAAATGCCTTGATCAGGGCAGATTCGTGTTAAATGATGATGGGAGTTGTGTTCCTAACTTTAGATCCAGCTTACATCCCTTGCAGTGAACTGTCCATAAACCAAATGACAAAACTTTCATAACAACAATAAATATATTGTTACATTTCAATGCATATAATATAATAGTAATAATAATACCACTAATAATATTAAACTTTTCCTCTCTCTGTTAGAGTGCCTGATAATTTAATTTCTGTAATTCTGCACAGTGGAACATATCCGTAAATAAACTGGCATTCACAATAACCAGAGCAGCCATGTTTGGAAATAAAGTGTCAAAATTCACACACAAAAAATTCAAAACATATACAACAACTTGTGCTGCGTAGGACATAATTCCTCACACTAGCCTTGAGTAAATGTCACCCTTCCTTTATGGTCTTTTGGGATTTTTTTAGTTGACTTATTTGGTTGTCTTTGTTGGGGCGCCCGAGAAATGGCCTGTGGCTGGGGCCTTTTCTCCTAATTTCCACGCTCCATCTGTGGTATCCATTAACAGAGTCTATACCAGCATTCAGGACTCTGACACCTGCCTGGCAGGGAGTAGGCTACACAAAGAAAACTGAAGTGGAAAAGGAGGGGGGTAGAATGTAAGGTTTCTTTTTGGGAAGGAGGTTGAGAAGGAGGGTGTGAAATGAGTTCACAGTAGGGGTTAATCCAAGACCCACCACTCCAGAGCATTTAGCACCTGGAGTTTTAACCCCCACCCTGTATTCCAGTCTATTACAAGTCTCCTCTTGCTCCTTAGAAATACATCAAGAAGAATACTGAACGTGAAGAAAATCTGACACAGAACTAAGCCACAATCTTATACCTCTGCCTCTTGCAATCAAAATGGAGGTTGTCCAATTTATCACATTTGTGAAAGGCTCTTCCGAAATATCATCTAAATCAACAGTCATTCCATCTGTCTAAACACATCACACTCTGTAGAAATGCAGAGTGTATTCCCTCAAGCACTATAAACATCGATGGACATTAACTCTCCAAGAGAAATTAATATTGGCATGCAAGGAAATTGTGACATGTGATTAGCTATAATCTCATAATGTCCTTCTCCCAAGCACAGAAATACTGGTTTTGAGAGCATACACAGGAAAGACTCTGGACACCTTTTCAATCGAACGTCGTTATTGGTTACGAACTTTATGTAATAAGTGGCAAAACGTCCTGTGAAATATGGCAGCAATAACATTCGTGCTGTGTTATATTCTCTCTATTAACTCCTAGGAATGTTAATATGAAGATGGTTATTTTCAGTTTTTATACAAATGCCAGGAATTACCATTAAATTGTGACAAGTGGGGAAAAAAATATTTATTAAGAAAAATAGATTATCTCGATAGCTTCATGACAGAAAGGCAGGCATAAAAAAAAAATATGTGCTTCTGGGATATTTTATATACAAATATTTCTCATATATATTAAATATTTTAATGATATAAAGATTATTAGAGATCAGTTTATTTTCTATTTTAAACATGAATGCTTGGTATCTCTATGAAATGGCAACAAATGTAAAAATAATAATTAGAAAAACGGATTGTATACTTTCTAAATATCTATAAATAGTAAATTACTATATGTCTTACCTAAAGGAAAATTTTCTATTTTTCTAACACCCGGGAGGGGGGTACGTTTTATTTCTACCCTTACATATACAGAGTTTATCACTTAACAACAAGCCCCCAGTGGAATTTACACATAAACACACACACACACACACACGTATGTTTTTGTTTATATTGTGTTAACAGATAAACTAATCTTTTCACACGTCACAGTTATTATTACATTACGAGAGAAGTACAGCAGACACAGTGGTAAATCTATGTTTTAACACACTTTATCCTGTGAATCCTTCCCAATCTAAATAATTTAAATTAATATATTCCACACAGCTATTTCTAAATTAGTTTTATAAAAAAAAAAAAAAAGGTTTTACCTTATTCTGTTTTTAAAAGCAACAGTCTGCTTTGGGCTATTTAGAAGTGTAAAACAAAATCACAGTTCACTTGAAGCAGTTTTAAATATTCCCACTGTGCACCAAATAGCTTTAGGGCCTTATATTAACCCTTTAACCATGCCAGCATACCAGCATCATTATTACAGCAGCCAACTTCTTAAGAATCAGTCCAAATATGTGCTCTCAAGCATAAGTAAACCAAATGTTCCTGTACATCATCAAATCTGAATTTTTCTATTTAGACTTCAGTTTAATGCAGTAACCCTTTTAATGCTAAGTTGAGGGTGTGAATTGTTTGTTTTTGGTAATGCATTTCTCAAACTCACAGACACTGAAAAAATTAACTTCATTACATAGCCATTACATGTTCCGTAAGATTGCAAAAATATTAACAAAGATCACTTAAGTTTCTTATACAGATTGTCTTTAATAAAAGAATGAACTCTTCTTTTAAAGTGGTAATGTGTACCTCCAGAAGCACATACCTCTGACTAAAGATTTTCTGAAAAGCTTTCACCCCCTGCTGAGGTGCAAAATTTGACATTCCCTTCTCTCCTATTATGTTACTAAAGTCTGTTCAACTAGTATTTATGAATGATCAGAAGAATTTCTGCTCCTGGTTTTTGTCTCTTTATCTACAGCAGCACAGAGCTCTACATTTTCTAGGAAATCTCCATTGATCCCATCCGCACAAATAACCATGGTTCTGTCTATTTTTCACGGTGGCGACAGATTTCATGGAAATCGCAAGCCGTGAAAATATTATTTCACTGTGAAAAACCGCGAAATCGTTGAAATCCAACATTGTTATATATATATTTAATGAGCTTTTGGATATTACCCTGACCAGCGGGGAAAATAAGACTGTAATAATGCTAGAATATAGATATAAAGGAGAATATTGATATTATAAAAGATAATATTAATCTATTCATTAAAACGGTAAATTGTGAAGAACTGGCAAGAGAATAATCAAAGTGTAGGCCTAAACAACTGACATTTGTGATGTTAGAGAATATTTCCAAATTCACCATTTTTTTCCAGAAATTTGCGGTTACCTTTACATTTCTCCATAATTCCAGATTCCTGCTTTCTTTTTAGAACAATAATACTGACAATAAATATCACCAGGACTATGATGATTGTGAAAGATATTGCCCCATATGGGAATCTAGTTGCTGGGTAGATGGCAATTAAAAAATATATATTACCAGAAATATTGTTGCAACTCCATTAAACAATTAATGATTATGTTTGAAAATAGCTAAAAATAAAATGCAAGAAAACATAGGTAAAGAATTTATATGTTTTTATGTTTATTTTATGTATTTTCTAGTACATTTACAAAATATAAGGTCTGTTGAGCAAGCTGTAAGGGGGCAAACTAAACATTCGAAATGCCAAAAGGAACGAAGTGAAACATTTAGCTCATTAAAATCTAGGACCAGCCCAAACTTTTGTTTACAGTTGTAGAGAGACTATATTATTCACTATACAGCACAACCAGCCTCCCTATTACGGACTCCCTCATCATCTTGTCCAGTGGGAGCTGTTAATGAACTGGGTAATTGAGCTTGTGACATGTGTTACCAAAACAAAACAATAGGAAGAAGAGACAAATGGCCATTTTATTTGGCGATTAGAGGCTGGCCCATGCTTTCAGAGTGTCTGCACTAAGTAACTGTCTGAATACATAAAACAGTGCATTGAGGACCAACAGCTGCAAACACAATGATGGGGAACTGACAGCAACAGTCCCATCTGTGCTTAACATTTTGTTAAAAGAAATTACTTGACTTAAGAAGGCAAATTGTACAGCTGCCCCTGTACACTGCCTTACACAAGAAGGGTCCATCCTCGGACTATTTAATGCACTCACTGACAATGTCACTTAACCCCTTCGTCGTGAGAGCAATACGTCTTATAATGAACGAGTTGATCCCGTCTACCCTTAGAGAGTTTACATATACTGTGAAAGTGCAATAACATTGCTATAAACAAAACGACAAGTGGAAACTGCAATACAAAACTGTGTAAGTAGTGAGACCCTAGTTTCTAAGGACTTGGCGTCCACGCGGAAAAGGGGTTACGTCAACTATAACCACCATTCCAAGCATGGTACTGCCAGGTTTGTATACCAGATGAATTATGTATGCTATTTTATTTCAGTCTGATTTTTATTTTATACCTAAATACACGATTATTGTATTACTACTAACAGTTCAACACATTTTGTAATAATATACAACAAGCAAAGAGGTACGATACATTCAAGCAATTTAGAAAATAATAGACAGATAAGAAGGAATCGGCACTATTCAACAGCTACAGTAAAATGCTTTTTTTTCACGTGAATTTTTGTGCAGGGCCCTCCCAGCCATTTGACTTTTCCTTAAATATTAATGTTTTGCTTCAGTATTGTATTATTTTGTTTGTTTTTCCTTGTTTGTTTAGCTGCACACTTGCAATTTAATGATAGTAAATATAATAATAAATCATCTAACCAGATGAGATATGTTACTCAGCTGTAATCTTTAAGGTTGTTCTGGAATATAGTGCTGTTGTCATCCAAATCAGTGGTACTTATCCCATTGACCATGGAAGGATAAAATGCAGAGATGACCCTGCTAGGACTCAAACTTTTAAATCTTGAGATTTAAACAATTGTTCACTGAAATATATAAAGATAGATAGATAGATAGACAGACAGACAGACAGACAGACAGATAGATAGATAGATAGAAACCTTATGCCATGCATATCTGCAAACTACACAAAGTGCTGATTCTATCTAGAATAGAAAGCCAAATAAGTCACAAAATAATTTTGAAGTCTTCTTGCAACGATTAGACACTTTCATTTTGTATTCTGTATTTCTTATTCCCAGACCTCTTTAGAATGTCCCTTTATTCAGATCACCTTTTCTTCTCAGCTATAACTCTGACGCAAGTATTTCATTTAGAAAATCGTTCAGTAGGAGTCTACTTTTAGAGATCTCAAACAGTACGACAATTGAACTATGAAAGTGTTACTGACCCAAAAGTAAACTTTGACCCTCAGCCCAGTGATCAGGCATCTTAAGATGTCTTGTCCCTTTTAATAGACTAGTGCTTTACTTTCTCAATCCAGAAGCTGACATGCATTTAATATACATCTCCCAATGCCCTTTGGCTTGGCTATAAGAACCTCTGACCCCTCACTTGCAAGGTTCCTTTGCTCGGAGTGAATAACGCATTAACTCTTTCTGCTACTTAAAAAGACAAACTACAATGCATTATTTCTTCACTTGCATTTCAGACCCAGCTGGCGGCAAAGAGGATGATATTTATGATGTCTTTACAATAACGTCAGATTCTTGAGATTTATTTCAACCTTTTTTTTTTTTTTTTTTGTCTTTCCTTTAGAAGGGCTTCTATGCGCATAAAGATCGTCTAAACCATTTTAATGAATGTAAAAATAAAATCAGTTTTATGTGCTTACAAGCAGGATTCTTTTTAGAGTAATTCTGATATTTAGAAAAAATAAATACATGATAGTGCTGTCACATAAGGAGTCCCATATGCCATTAAGAGGATAACAGCTAGTGCCTGGACACTGTTATGTTAATAAGTGATACTATACTGCCTTTAGGCCATTCAGACAGAATGAGGCCAAATAAAATAATAGCATAGGACTACTTGTTCTACAATATTATCCTATGGAACCAGAGCATTTACGTGGATGAGAAGCATTGCTGTAGTGCCTGCATGTCCCTCTCTAATATAAAGAAGGACATGTGTTTACTTGGACCTCTCTCCACAGCAGAATATGGCATGGGTAGTGAGGGTAGAAAAACATAACCAGCATATGAGAAATGCTGCCATATTCATCCAAACGTACATTTATGATCATGCTTGTTTATTTTGGGCTTAATAACTCATTAGGGTTAGTGCATAAAGCACAATTCTGGGTCAAACCTCTCTCAGCCACCTATTACAAGAATATTCAGTAACAGAACTGCTGGGAATTCAAAGTGAGTTTCAAAATTTAGGCCATTGAGCAAAATTGGAAACTTTCCTCTATTCCCCAAGTCAATTCTGTTTTCAATTTGGCTACTTTCGACTAGAATTTGAATTCCCAGAAATTATCACTTTAGTGAAAAACCGTGTAATAGTAGCAATCAGCAGGAACATTCCATCAGTTTCCATGGCATTTTTGGAACTTTGCTCAGAATTATACTTTATACATATTGCCTGTTGCTTCAGAATGCAATACACGTGCTCATTTAATTGCAATATTGCGTAAATTGCCACTCGGCTATAGTGAATGTGATTAGAAATCTGCCTAATATAAAGCTTACCACAATTATATCTGTAGTTTTTAAGGATCGTAGAAGTAAAGTAATAAAATTAGTGACATATGATGAATGTTTTTACAAAACAGGTCTGATCTACATTACGGATTTGATGTTGTCATTGTGTACATTTTGACACTACACATTCTTTAAGTGGAAATTGTTTTGGGATCTGATTTCTCTTCGCAGATCCCTGCATTATGGTGAAACACAAAGATTGTAATTTCAATAGTGTACACTTTCAGCGATGCATGAGCTGATAATACAAAGTATCTCTATAGGAAACATATTTATTTTCACGCAGGTGCTGCACTTGTCAATACCAAATAAAAACCATTGTGTTTGTTTAACGAAATGAATAAAGTTTTTAGAATGCTTTTTCATTTTAGAGTGCGTCACAAAAATATAATGGTTAGTTATCTGTCTGTGTATTAAAGAGCTGCTTGTTAACTGTATTTGTAGTAATAAATACTTCAAATGCGTGTACATTACCCTGACGGTGCAAGGTTTAAGAGGCTACAGTTGAAATTTCATACACCGTGGGAAGAAAACAAACATAGCCATATCAGTCTCGCCACTAGAGATTACAAAGTCCAATATCTTAAACTGTATGGTGTATGAGGGAGGAGGGGGTATTGCATTATTTAAAAGGGTACAGGTATCTATAAGACAGATGAAACACTTAACTATTAGGATTGTTCATTAAATTACCTTTATAAAAATGTATTTATTTGAATTTTTAAGTAAATCCTATATTAATCAAAATAGGATAGGAATAAACTATCTGTCTATTTATTTACGTTCATTTTAAGGTAGCACACTGTTTAGCAGGACACGAACTCTATTAGCTCAATTAATTAATGCTTTATTATGGTAAAAGGGGAGATAACAATGTAAAATTAATAAACTAAAAGATTTTACATAGTTTTCTCCCCTTTTACCATAATAAAGTGTTAATTAATTGCACTAACAGAGTGTATGTTCTGCTAAACAGCATACTACATCAAAATTAACTTAATCAATAGAGAGGGCAATTATTTAAGCAAAATCTAATTATTACTATAATACTTTTCTACTAGAATGAGTTATAATATTTCACAATTACACATTTTCATTTATTATATATGTTTTCACGTTAGATTTAACTTATTCAGTGAATTAATGTACACCCTAATAATGGACTAAATATTGGATGGTTTGGGGAAGTTTACATATTTTTTTTAGTTTGCTAACAATCTAACCCTTTTCACGTAAAACTCCCATTTTTAGAGATTTTCTCCATGAAACGTTGACCAAAACAATTCTTGCACACTGCCTCTCCATAATGTGCACTTCTTCATTCAAAGCACTGCTTCTCCTACTGTCTATTTTACATTGCAAGTCCCGTAGTATATTTATAAAGCAGTGCATATTTATCACCTTTTCTAAGCAGTGAGATCTACAATACAATTAATTCCAGCTTGTGGCTTTCCCAAGATAATTAGGTAACTCTGTAGACTAGAGTCTTAGTGCGTCTACTGTTGTTCACATTACATGATTGACAAGTCTGTGTCTGACTGAACCATTAACAGTTTCATTTTGTTGCTATTTGCAGTTTGCTCGGCTAATATTCCAAACAAATAGGAGCTGTTTCTTTGGTCGTTTTTTTTCTACTTGACCTTCCCCTGCTTCATTCTTTTTGAGTCTCTAGAAACTGCCTTGAAAAGGCACGTTGAATGAGCACAGTCCATCAGAGAGCCAGGTTCATCCCTCTCTGCGCCCTCAATGCTTCACTTCAAAGATGGTTGCATTCTTTAATTGGCCTTTGAATTGATACCAAAGGGTCACAATGCGAGTGGCAAAAGAGAAAGAGGCCTTACTGAAACAAAGCCACTCCATTCACTTGCAGATAAGCACGTTTTAATGCTTCACCGAACACTACTGTTAAAGGCTTTATTGAAGGCAAGGCCTTGTGAAAGCTGACGGATCCAAAAAGAACTTTTTACTTAAGAGATGATTAGTTCAAACAAACAAGAGTAAACAAGGAAACAAGATAGAAAAACAACACAACAAAAACCATTACAACAAGTGTATATACACACACGTCTTGGACTTATAAACTAGAAACAGAGCTGTACACCAATATTCTTTACAGAATACACTAACTAGTTTAAAAATTCCACATTTCTCATGCCTGATTATTGCTTTGCCACAAGTGTATTCTATTTTATAATTATTACTCTTTGCATTTATATAGCGCCAATATATTCTGCAATGTTTTACAACTATAGAGTGAGAATATTTCACAAGTAATTGAAATAAAAATATTAACACAGAGAGAGGCAAAATGTCTCACAGAAAGATTATTCATTGTATTGTTAATTTTTAGGACTGGGGCTACTTATTGTGCAAATTGTGGTTTAAGGAAAATGTAGCTTAGACAAATGTTTTTCTTTTTCTAAATATATACTCCTTTTTCGCAATCATAGTTCTCAATAGAGGGGTGTTAAACTGCAAAAGTGCATCTTCTACATTCAGTTGCAGGCTTCATATTACCGAAACGTTTAACAAACATTGCATAAAGTTTATCATAATATAGCTGCTAACTAGTACACACGGATAGAGAACCCCGATTTTACAAGCTTGCAATTTATTGGGCGGTGGGACAATAGAGACAGAAGGTAAAGGTTTACACACAAGAGTAAGTCAGATTTATGGTAGGAAATTGGGAACAAATGAGAGTATTGGTGATTTTATCATTATTTCTTTTTGATCTCAGCCCAGTTTTGTTGTCTTGGTGATAAATAAATTCAAAATCATTTTAAAGATCTAGAGATAATATTATGAGATATTTTTAATTTTGTTTGTTTGTTTTTGCTTTTTTTGTTTTTCTGTTAATGGGGGTTTAACATTTTATAGATATTACAAATCTATTTTTTTTCTTTATTAGTTTAAGAAAATATTTCCATGATTATGGGTAATACTAATATGCAAAAGAGTAAGAGTGTCATTTAGGATGAACAAACATAAAAACACAATAAAAAAGAATCATACAACTCCAATTGACTCTCTAATACCCCATGGGGGACAACTAAACAAGCTCATTTGATTTCATTGTTGTTGTTTGCTAATTATCAATACTGTATTTTTATTTCACATTTTTTATGTGATTTGTATATGGTTTCCTTTAAATTAACTTATGCTATTACTTTGGTAGAATGTTGAAAATAGAAATCCATCCATATTGTTCCATTATAGCCTGAGACCATCTGAAGGAGTTATACAAAGGTCAAGCTAAAAAATAAATAAGTAGAGCATCATCAAATGTATTGAACGTCAATATGAAAAACTCATTTCTATTTAGAAGAATTGCAAAACATTGAAAGACAGTATAAACCTCTATCTGACGATCATATAACTTTTGATGCCTTCAAGGTTCTAGAAGTAGCATTAGCAAAGTTTGTACATACAATATGACTTATTAATTCGATTCACAGTGGTAGAATTTTGTCATTTTCATTTACAATTTACTCATTTTGTCCAGGTTCTTAATTACATGATAAGTGTAAGGCTTTTGAGTTTGAAATAGCAGAACACGTTGCATTATACAGCGATAACAGCCGCCTGTTGCTAATTTAGCATAGTTTATGGTTTATAAAGCCTTGCTATGATATGAAAGTATCAATCCTAGAATGTTTTTTAGGTCCAATAATTGGAAATGTTGGTGATTTAAATATACGCCTAGAGTTCAAACACTGAATTAGTGTATTCCATGGCATGAAATTTGCATGAAGCTTGGCATTTGAAAAGGTCATTTCTGTAATGAAAAATAAGTTGCGTGTTCATTAACAATAGCTGGACTAATATAAAAAAGATTAAATTCTTAGTGCTTCTTATGCTTTTGTGAGTGAATGAATACACTGGCTTGATCATCTTATGAGTGATAAGAAACAGACTTTAGAAGCAGTGGCGGCTGGTGAGGTGGTGACTGGCTGAAATATGGTGGGGCACTAGACTCTACCCCAAAATGTAATTCTGCTTCCTAACTTGTTGAGCATTGCCAATTTTACCCCATGTTTTCAACCCTAACCCAAAGGTAGATTAATGCCCTGGTTAACAACACAAACCCTTACAAACATGTATGTGGGTAACAGCAATCACTTTAAAGAGATCCTACTCCACCTTCGAATGCTGTTACGAACTGTCAGCTCTAAAAGAGAGAATAAAAAGGGTGTCCAAGAAGTGATGGCCGAATGCAAAACCAAATAACATCAAAAATCCTGTTAAAGCAGACTAAGCATGTCTGAGAGGCCTAAACTAAGAAAATGTATACTCAAAGTTGGAAGTGCACTCATCTCCTCACTAAGGAATTCAGGGTGCTCTTGAAAAATTCCCTGTACCCAAAAGGACCAAAGTAGATAAATTTGTAGAAAATGATCAAGGCACTCCAATAGTTTCCAATTCTTAAGGCAATTTATTTGGACCAGGAACTACAAAGCTTTGTAGTTCCTGGTCCAAATAAATTGCCTTAAGAATTGGAAACTATTGGAGTGCCTTGATCATTTTCTATAAACTAAGAAAATGGGCATTTTTGTTTTCTTTTTCCAAAAGTACACAAAAACTTTCACATGATTAGTTTCTGAGCCTATGAGCAACCTATTCCTTCATCAATGAGGAAGGGATACTAATCCACCGAACTAATTAAAAATGACATTCCATGTTTTTTTCTAGCATACATGTATCAGTCTAAAACAGATTTTATTTTTCTATTGCAAGAAAAAAAAATGTCTCTATGGATCAGCCCCAACTGGATTGCAATATGCAAAAGAAAGCTTCACAGGAGTAAGTAAAATAAATGTCTTTTAGCAGTGGGAAGTCTTAGTAAAGCTGTGATTTTCCCCATCTCTCTCTCTATGAATACAGTGTCATTCTTTACATATGAAAATCAGGTCTGTGAAGTCTCAACAAGCTCTGCTCTTTTATTTGCCCCCTGCTATCACTACTAACCTCTAATTTTGCCTGTTTAACACATAATTAACACATACAGTAACCAGTAATATACTAGACAAAGTGTCCATTAACATGTTAGTCTCTCGGTCACATTAACTTCATGTTTTCCTTTTATTGTTTTGTTTATATTGTGTTTGAATAGATGAGAGTGAGAAAACGTGTTATATCGTTAATTCAATTATAAAATCCATCCCTTTGGCTTTTGTTGCACTTTTTTCCTGCTGGCTGGTAGAACATTCATGGAACTGTAGTTCAAAAACAGCTGGAGGACCAAGTTTGTACATTCCAATTCTAAAGAAAAAGCCAAAGATCCAAAAAATGAATGGAACAAGTTTCCAAACATGTTTCAGGTGATCCAACAAGTGAATGTAACAAATTCCAGAACACTTGCCAGGTGAAGACTTGACATGGAAAGACCCATAGCACAACCAACACTGCTTACAGTATCTCCAACCAGAACTCCTAGCTACGGCTACACGTAGCTTACAGTCATACAACAAAGCTGACATTTTACTGCATTTTCCCAATCAATTGGCCATGTGTTATTTTTTCCTTATGTGATTTACTATTTGGAAAGTGAAATATTCTTGGCAAATAAGGAACACTTGGCAGAGCAAACTATCACCTTTTTCATAATGATTTAGCTGTTAGTGTTACTGTAGTTTATTGTCTTGTGTAGGTCAACAGCTAATGAAAGTATTTAGCATCCTACAGATGGGGGATGTCAACCTTAGATATGTTCAACATATAGCTTATGTGGATTGATAAACATGCCAAAGTAAAGAAGACAGCACAAAGGGATGTTCATTTCATAATTAAATATCCTAATTATTATAGAAATTGTATGTTCGTGTTTACAGACAGAGATATAATAAAGTACTGCCATGTCTATTGTATATTTTTTGTTTGTAATAAATGATGGTTCTTCATGGGCAATCCTATTTTAGTACACCACTGCCTTCTTTTTGTGCTCCATACCGGAGTCTATAACTCGGAAAATGGAAGTATCAATGCGAATGGCTTCCCGGACACTTATAGTTATAAATATGCAATGTTTCGAGAAACTATTTCCAAGCATATTTCAACATAATGCAATGGTGTGATGTTTTCATTATTTTTGAAAATATGCTTTTTTTTTGTATTCCAAGAAAATTAAAAAAATATAAACAATGAGAAATTATTTCCTATGATGTTCTATTTAAAAAAATAAAAAAATCCCAGTGCCTACTTACAAAAAAAAGTTCTCAGCTAAAAGAATGCTACAGAAACTATTGATTCGTTGGACTTCAGAGATTGAAGGGACAATAAAGACAACGTTTCAAGCTGAATAGGCTTTTATCAGATGCAAAAGACTCTATTCAGAATAAAACGTTGTGCTTTCTCATTGTGTCTGTTTGATCTGACTTCAAGCTCTAGTAAATAAATGTTTTTTTTTCTGGCATCATTCAAACATTGTCAGATAGTTATATTGCAAAATGTGGCAAAAACTTAGAATCGAGATGAACAACTTTTTGGTGCGTTGTTGACCTCATTTGGAGAGAGAAAGCTGCGTTGCACTAATCTTGAAATCCCTCTGAGCAGCAGCAATAAAAACACAGACATGTTTTATTCAACACAATAATGATTATTTGACTTAGGAACTACATTAAACAGTCATAAAAATGCACAGCGTCCAGGGCTCAATAGACTGTTTGGAATAGAATGAAAGCTTACTCAGCCTGAAACCTTCCCCTTTGTGGACTGAAGTTTTGAGTGTGTAGATGATCAGTTTTCCCGAATGTCCAAGCACAATCTTGGATTCAGGAGACATAACATTGTATAGGCTTCTGTGTTTCTGCATTTTATATTTTAACTGATCTTTTAAATGAACCCACACATTATTTTTTGTGCATTGTAAAGAGAATAGTATCAAACCATAAACAATCAAAAGAATTTGGTTTTGGAAACACTGGATTGGGAGCACTAAAACATATCAACTTCAATTAACTCTTTCCTCTTGTCCCCTTATTTCTGCGGAAGCAAAGAGTGCAGGGCAAAAAAAGTCACTAGATACTGATCTTTGTGATCGTATTCCAACATCCATACAAAGTTGTCATAGGTATTTTTGTTACAAGTCCATTAGGATTTTAGAAACAAGTCTCAAGACAGCAGTGACTGCACATGTAAATATTGCAGAAAAAAGACATCACCATTGGACAACTTTAGAAATTCTGTGATTGGTTTAATCTTATGTGTCACAATTACATTTCTTTGATATATTCTGGGACAAAAATAGTGTATAAGCCTAAGGGCTGCAGGAACAACATAAGTTTTACCCTTTTCTATTACATTTTTGGGGGTTTATAAAAACACTGTATTTTGGATGGAGTAACGCTTTAAGTACATTTTGTCATTAATTGTGTCAGTAGAGTTCTTCAGATGACCAGAAAATTATTTCCTTTTTTTTTTTCTCTTTAAAAACCAGGGGAATTTAGTCAAGTAATTGTATCTGTAAATCTATATAGCAAAATATACTTGGAGCAATTTAAATAACTTAGCCATTAGAAGATTTATTTACCCTATCATACAGCACTGCCAATATCTTGTGTCCAAAGGTTTTATATATGTGTTATAATTAAAATTAAATAAACTTCCTGCTGGCACTGATGGCATTCAGCACTGACAGATTAACTGATAGAGCATCTATTTCCTTGTTCCTACAAAGCATAATACTGGAGATTAACAGCTCATCTACTGAAGTCAAGTTCTGATTGGTTGCTGACGTCACATGCTCACATTAGATTTTTTTATGTTTGTTTACTGGTTTTAAAAATGTAAATAATATGTTGGGAATATTATTTTAAACTGGTTATATAAAGAAAATTTCAGGTGACAGGTCTGGTTTAAATATTAATAAGGAACGCTGCTGACTCCCAGACCATCTCCTCCTTTCTGTGTAATTATATCAGTGGTTAGCCAATTATTCCCAAAGTACACTAATTTCATTGTAGCAGATTCTACATTCCACCCATCTGTCTGTTTGTGTCGCCAGTTCTATAGTAGCTGTCAAATTATGATTGTGTATTATATTTGTTTTGAAAGACCACGTAGCCACCACAAATGATGGCTTAGAACCTGCAGCCTCGGACTTGTCATCTTCTGTCCTTCTTAGCTCTCAGTGCTGTGGAAGTAGCCCCATCGAAGTGGAGTGCCAAGTTTCTGATAAGAGGGTTAAGCCCTCTTGATACAGCTTTTTATTTGGCCAACTGTTTTAAATTTGCAAATGAAAGTTGTGGTAGAACTTCATCTTTGTGGACCTCTTCCAGCATGTCAAGAATTAATTGTAATGAAAACAGCATTGCCTAAATGCAAGGCCGTCCAGTTACTCTGCGTTATTTACACAAACAGAGTCCTTCTCAGTTTCTTTGATAAAAGCAGCTAAATCTTTTCCCTCTTTCATGTTTTGTCAGCACTTGAATCCCCTTTGTCCTCTGGCTATTTGCCGAGATGCGGACAATGGCTCAGGAGAATGGAAGCAGATTGTTGGAATGGCTCTCTGTAAGCCTAATTATGATACGTTCACTGCACTCACCATGACATATTAAGGGGACCCAGGCTTATTCAATTAGCCACTCCAGGTTTCCCTTTCAGACTTAAAGTTATCCTTTGCGTGTTTGTATTTCTGAACAGTATTCATGTCCATTGTGAAAGAAAATCCTCCAGACTTTAAGAATGTTTTTAAACTGATGCTGTTATTGTAGCTAATTTTTATTAAGCAAATGATAACATGATAAAGAAACAGACTTTTGTTATTTAATAAGTACAAATCAGTGAGCGTATGCTCACCTCTCTCCTCTGTCCTCCGTATTCTGTCGTCACCAAGTCCCCCTGCTGCCACTGTTATTGTCCCCGACACTCTTTTCTTAGGTTCTGTGTTTCTTAATTTTCCAGCGTTCACGCCAAAACATTTAATCATATTGTCTGTTCCATTCTGTTTTGAGGTTTCGAATTGTAACTTTTTTAATCACCAATGTATCTAAAGTGCCTTGTGACCAGGAAGATGATCATGTGATACAGATTACTTCCTGTTTGCAAAAGGTTGAATGTAACAACAAACTAGGAAGGTTACTGTTGAACCAATAGTCAATTTCACAGCTAGCAAACAGTCTGCCATTTTGTAACTGCGTCAAAAAGATATTCCTACCCTCTCCAAGACTGATTTATTCATGTGTATAAGTCTGCAAGATTTATCAAGTACGATCATGCATACGTTTAAGAGGACGGTAGTCAGTAAGATACAAAATTATTTGAAGGTTTACACGATGGTAAGAAAAATTTATATTAAATGTTTACAAAATATAACAATAAATGTTTTGCATCATTAAATTGTTTCCTCTTCTTGCACAATATAGTTTTGTTAAAACTGTGGATGTTTTTTTATTTTTCCTAAATCCACTATGAGGTTTAGAAAGTGCTTTATGAATTGTACTTTTTTTGTCCATGTAAAGTAGTTATAACAAATTGTGAATTAGTAGGGTGTGTGTATATATGGATGTGTGTGTGCTTTACTTACTAGATAGAGGGCAGTCTGTTATCCAAAATTATGCTTTGAAAAATATGGTCTAAAACAATGTTATCTATCTATGATCCTGTCTGACAACATGTAAGGTCATAAAGTGCAACATAATTAAAGGGATTCTATAGTGTTAGGAATAAAAATCTGTATTTCTAACTCTATAGTGCCCTCTGGTCCCAATCTACTGAGCACACCCTAACCCCCCACCTGCAGACTTTATTTACTCATAGTGCCAATCTCCCTCTGCATTGGGTCTGCTCTCCTCCCCCTCTCCCCCCGACCCCGACATCATCCGATAGGATACCCTAATGCACATGAGCATAGCGAGTATACGAGCGCATTAGACTCTCCCAATAGGAAAGTTCTGCCTCAATGCTTTTGTTTGGGGATTTTACTGATGCAGGATGTCCTCATGCAGAATGTGACGACGTCCAGCATCATTTAAGCAACCAGGAGTCCGGTAAACTTGAAGAAATGCCTTTAGTGGCAGTCTTGTAGACAGGCACTAGAGGCTGTCTTGTTATTTCAATGAGTTTCTCAAAAACTGCAATGTTTTACAATGCAGGACTAAGGGGGACAGGGACACTAAGGGTGTCTTTAGTGTCCCTTTAATAGTACCCAGCCCCCAACCTTAATATTAAACTTACAAAACAGGATTTATCATGAACAAAGTGAAATATTAAATATTTTAAATTGATGATAGCCGTGTATATACCTCTGCTGTTGGCACCATTAAATATGCTTATTTAAAGAAACATTTAATGGAAACATTTCTGGATGACAGGTGAGCGATAAAAAGATGGACAACATAGTTCTAAATTCAACAAGTACGCATGGATTCTTTACTATAGCAAAGCTGTGTATGTATAAGCCTAGCATGTGCAAACATTCAGAGGGGCCTTTTCCCTGTTTCTAATTTTCAGATCTTCCTACTATCTTGTTTCTGCCTATGTATTTCTGCAAATTAAATGTCTCTAGACAAAAAAAAAAAAAAAGAATTTAGTGAAGCCATCTTTCTAATAGTAACTTACCAAAAAGGTAGGTGGAATTTGTGCCATGAAAATCTTTTCACTGCTGGAGGGGACATAACTATCACTGATCATTATCTGTATTTAAAGAAACAAATTGTTTCCTAAACAATTGCTTCCCTTTTATTGAGTCCAGATACAGCCACACGCATCTGGACTATAAATCACAACAAACATTAATAAAACATAAGACAGATACCTTCACGTTACATGCTTTTAACTTGGACCAATTGTCAGACAAGATACTATAGCAACCTCATGCTCAATATTCTGATTTCTGACTGTACAACTTGTATTAAATGCGTAAAATCAAAGACGCTCATATGTGCAAATTTATGGATTAAAAATCCACTGGTCTACAGACTATTTGTGAAGTTATTGTTCGGTGTCATCCCCTTTACCATATTAATTCCACCAATATTTATAGTGCTAGTACCAAGACAAATGTAAACTAAAATGTCATGGAATATGCTAGTATTTACTAACAATAGTGAAACTGTTAAGGGCCTTATGGCAGGCTAACCTTGCTATACTGTTGTATACCTTGCTAGCTAACCTTGACACTGTTGTGTACTCTGTAATGGGGAATGTAATCCACAAACATCTGCATTGACAATGTAAGCCAACATTAAACATAGAATACATTGCTGAAATTAATACACATCAAGAGCACTAATGGTAATCAGGCAACTAACCACATCCTTAACACCAGGTCCTACACTGGGGGTAAGCAAACTTTGGTACCCCAGATGTTGTGGATTATTATTATTATTATTTTATTATTTATATAGCGTCAGCAAATTCCGTAGCGCTATACAATGGGTGGACTAACGGACACGTAATTGTAACCAGACAAATGGACGCACAGGAACAGAGGGGTTCAAGGCCCTGCTCAATGAGCGTGCATGCTAGAGGGAGTGGGGTAATGTGACACAAAGGGTATAAGTCTGGTAATGAAATAGGATGCTAGAAAAGTAATCACTTAGAACTACAACCATAGTGCTTTGCCAGCACTATGGTTGTAGTAGCATTATGGGAGATGTAGTCCACAACATTTGGAGTGCCAAAGGTTGACTACCTCTGTCCTACACCATTTAGGTTAAACATCAACTGATGACATCAACACAAGTCCTCTTTTTTAACATTACCCATGACATGAAGATTGTACCATTTGCATAACATATCATTTGCAGTGCAACAGACATTGCAAAAAACATAGAATATTATAGCGTGTCTTGCTAGTAAACTGTAACACAACAAGGAGTACAAGCCCACTCCACTAGGGGCAGGCTTTGTGACTTTTGTAATTATAGTAACAAACAGCTGAAAATCTTCCAGCTCTGCATCTTTTTCAACAAATAAACATAAAAAGGTTTTCGAACATACCCTTTTATCAATGTCTGGTGTGTGTGTGTATATATATATATATATATATATATGGTTAGTTAATACAATGTTAAGGAAAAATCTGCACACCAGTCAAGCCATAATGTATATATAATGTACATTTTCAGCATTTTACTTTGCTATGTCTAACTATTTAAATTCTTGTCCCCTCTGCAATTCTTTTTGAAAGTAATTAGAACAGAGAGGTTACTCCATAAACAGACCCCATCTCTCGGTACAGCTGGTTCCTAGGGTAACGTACTTAAACATATATCATAAAGTCCAATTAAACAGATTTTTGTTCTCATTTTCCTCTTGAGTCACAATGAATGGTTTATGTCAGGACTAATTTTCCTACATTCTCTTTAAACTGCACAAACAGAGCAAGTTAATAGCAACATCTTTCTTTTAATCAGGGTGTAGGGATTTAATTGTGGATGTGGTATGTTTGAATCCAGCAAATTCTTTCTTCTGCAACCATTTCATTTCTGTAAAGGGGTCTGGAAGTCTGCATTGCCTTACAATACCTCATGCAATAGATGGGCCAGCATGTACACTGACATAAACTTCAATAATAGCTTTGAATGCTTTAATTTTTCATATTGTGGAAACTGAACTCAAACATGTCAATAAATTGTGTTGTCTATATTGTTATGTGTTTTTTATTTTATTTTTTTATTTGGGGGGGGGGGATTGTATGTGTATTACTTTTTATATGTCGCATTGTTTTTTGTTTTTATCCTTTACTTCCTTAACCCCTTAAGGACACGTGACGGAAATATTACGTCATGATTCCATGTTATTCCAGAAGTTGTGTCCTTAAGGGGCTAAAGGACCACTATAGTGCCAGGAAAACATACTCGTTTTCCTGGCACTATAGTGCCCTGAGGGTGCCCCCACCCTCAGGGTCCCCCTCCCGCCCGGCTCTGGAAAGGGGAAAAGGGGTTAAACTTACCTTTTTCCAGCGTTGGGCGGAGAGCTCTCTGTCTCCTCTCCTCCTCCGATCCGCCCCGTCGGCTGAATGCGCACGCGCGGCAAGAGCTGCGCGCGCATTCAGCCGGTCACATAGGAAAGCATTGTCAATGCTTTCCTATGGACGTTGGCGTGCTCTCACTGTGAAAATCACAGTGAGAAGCACGCAAGCGCCTCTAGTGGCTGTCAATGAGACAGCCACTAGAGGGAATCGGGGAAGGCTTAACCCATTGATAAACATAGCAGTTTCTCTGAAACTGCTATGTTTATGAAAAAATGGGTTAACCCTAGAAGGACCTGGCACCCAGACCACTTCATTAAGCTGAAGTGGTCTGGGTGCCTAGAGTGGTCCTTTAATCGGATTGGCAAATGCACCCAAGTATACATTGGTATGAAGTCAAAGAGATTAAAATCTCAACAGAAGATTTTTGGCACAAATTGTTGAAGTCCCTATATTGATTTTATGTTCAAGGCTTAACTCACCCTGTTTGATCTGCCATTTATTATCTTAGAAGCATATTAAAAAAGTATCCCTGACAAACATCCATAGATTGTCAAAACGTTGCCTGACGCATTTTTACTGAATAAAGCTCTAGCTCCACCCTACAGTGTGATTGGACCTGGAACAGGCACTGGTGTCAGAAAACTTTTCTCTAATTAAAAATGTGAGATGATACACTCCCAAGCACATGTTCCCAAACACATTTTTGCACTCATGCAAGCATTCTTCCCAAATTGTGCTAGTGCCCTTTAAATACATGGTGCCCTCATTATTCATTTTGAAACACTCCATTAAAGAAGAAGAGAAAGTCAAGCCAGAAAATTAGCTTCCTAAAGAAACACCACTGATTTGGTTGTGTTTTTTTGGTTTTTTTTAAACTAATCTCACAAAACACAATAGTGAATACAAGCCAGGTTTACAATCAACTTATTTACCGTGCAATTCTCTTTTTATATATACACAACTGTATAAATATATATTATGCTAATCTAATATTATTTACATATGTATTACATGAACAAATTCCCCACCTCTACGCACAATCACTAACTAAATGTTTCAAAATCTCTGCATGTATTCAGGTGCAATGTTTATAGCACTTATACATTTTTTTCATTCAATATGTATACAATCTAATTCAATTTGCAAAGTCAGAGCCAATATTCAAATTGTTAAGCAAATTGCAGCCAGTAATTAACTGATATTTTTGTTAATCCAGTTGGGTTTACCTATTTACATTTTTCAGTATGGCTGTAAATTATGATTTCAGTGAATACCCTTCCAAAGACTGGTATCACAAGATTTCATTTGTTATTCTGATTGAAACTGATACAGTGGGTTTTGAGCTCTCTAAAGAATACATAAACTGTTGTGAAAATGAATCATTACACTCGCATAAAAACACATGTATAATGTAAGACGATTGCAGGAACAGGTTACAAACATAAAGATCAATGAAAATTATGAGGCTTATGTAGATGCTTATATTGATTTCTTTGTTTCCGAATATCTCAAGGGTGCCTTGAACCATTTCCCTAAATATACAACACATTAATAAGCAATTGTACTATCAAAACGATTGATTCCATCCTCAGTTTAAATAACATTACGATGTGGTGGGTCCCATCGACCTTACAAAAGATCTAGTGGAAAACAAATGGCCCTAACCACACTGTAACAGCTATAAGATATATTCAACTTCTGACACAGTAAATATATAAAAACCTTTAAAACCAACGCAAAATATCAATTGTCCGTTCTGCAACGTTTTTTGATCTTGTGATGAACATGTAAAATATTTCTGACAATGATTTCACAATAATAAAGGAAAAGTCTCAGTCACTTACAATAATTACTTATTCATTGATTATTAAATTTCAGAGGCTATTTGGATTGAGGTTTTTTTGTTTGTTTGTTGTTTGGGTTTTTTGCCAGCTATTACTAAAAGTGCATTCATCAGTACATAATGGTATTTAACCCATCAAGTACCAAACTTCTGGAATAAAAGGGAATCATGACATGTCACACATGTCATGTGTCCTTAAGGGGTTAAACACGAGCATTACATTTTAGTTTAAGACGTTGTAATAACTCAGATACAGAGGTGTGTGTTTGTAAAATACAGAGGATACATGGTGTGTGTATTACAAAGAATAAATGTTGTTGTGTATGTGTGCGCATGTGTGTGTGTGTGTGTGTGTGTGCGTGTATGCGCAAGGAATGTAGCAGTCACCTTCCAATAGACAAACTATTTCTGTACTAACAGGCTTATAGACTTTATTACCAAAGGAAGAGGGCCTCCAATAACAGCTCATTAGCACTAATTGAGAATGACATCCATATTCCTGAGAGATCATTAAGACTATTCATTCAATTACTACAGTTTACTTTGTAAATCAGCAGATAGTAATTTAGCAAATGTTTTGCCCTTATGATTATTATTTTTCCCAATGTCTAATAATATAAAAGTGCAGGTAAAAAAACTACTGATTTTTAACACACACGTACCAGGGGTACTAAACTTTGCCCCTGATTCAATACGATTATATCTAAAATAAGTATTATCCATTGGAATCATTGTGACTCACATATTACATGTTATGTGTCACAATCCTTTCAATGTCATGCTTCAAATTATCTTTTCTATTTAATAACAAAGTGATTGCTATATGCTATAGCATACAGTTTTTCTGCTTTTTGCATAATTTACAATACAAAACAATGCTTTTATTCCGCTTGGATAATATCATATAGTTGGGTTTGGGGGTTATGTCAAATACTTATGGTGTGTATGAGGAACAATGTTCTGTGCTTGAAAATAAATTTCTTAAAGGACCACTATAGGCACCCAGACCAGTTCAGTGTAATGAAGTGGTCTGGGTGCCAGGTCCCTCTAGTTTTAACCCTGCACCTGAAAACATAGCAATTTCACAAACTGCTATGTTTACACTGCAGGGTTAATCAAGCCTCTAGTGGCTGTCTCACTGACAGCCGCTAGAGGCGCTTCCGCGATACTCACTGTGAAAATCACAGTGAAAAGACGCTGGACGACCATTGGAAAGCTTTCCTATGGGCGGCTGGAATGCGCACCCGTGCATGCACATTCGGAGCTGACGTCACCAGGGGGTGGAGAGTTCCCCAGTGCAGAGGGAGCCTGGCGCTGGCGAAAGGTAAGTGGCTAAAGGGGTTTTAACCCCTTCAGCCCAGCGGGAGGGGGTCCCTGAGGATGGGGGGGACCTAATGACCCTATAGTGCCAGGAAAAAGAGTTAGTGCACCGGAAAGCTGAGCTGCAAAATTAAGACTAAAATTGCCACGCTATGAATACAGATGGTTTGGAGATTGTTTTCCAAATCAACACTTTTTACAGAAATTTTGCCTTTTGGTTTTCAATTCACTATAATGTATTGCTTATTGAATAAACCTCACTAGTGTATTATAAGAAAGTTTACTAGTGCAGGCAAAAATTTAAAATATGGATGTCAATCAGCAGTCACATTCAGGAAGCATGTCTAAATTTCTCATATTACAAAGTACTTGTATGTGGTGTTTATCCGGTGTGCAGCACTGTACAATATATTGTTACAGTATAACATAACACCAATATATGCAAGCTATACCGAACTGTTAAATTGATTGTTGTATTTCTTTGTTTACTTTTCAAAGAAAGCTTAGATTTATAAAAAAAGAAAATCCCTCAAACTTACAATTCAAGAACACTCTATTAGGGGGAAAAATATACCTCCTTGTCCTAGCCCCTGTTGTACTACAAAGGAGGAGTTTCAATAATGGCAGACAGATCGGATGGCTAACTTTACCACAGTATCCCAGCATGCATTGCACCATCAGCAGACAGGAAGCTTATGTTCTTTAAATGTGGTCCCCCTCCGGCTTACATTACTTGTCCGACATATGAGTTGAAATATATTTTCTCATCAATGACAAGATTTAGCAGATTTTTTATTTTTTTTTAAATACTCAGAAATTTTTTTTTTTTTAAACAAATTGGAGAAATTGTTATATGGCTAAAACCGTGGTCTACACTATCAGTTTTGTAAAACTTACAGGTTTATTCACTTAACTCTGCATTGTAGCAAACTGAAATCCGAACAGCAATATATAGGCCAAAATAGCTAGTTTTGGAGACCTATTCCAATTGTGTGTTGGCTGAATTTTTCAATCAGATCCAAATAATACATAATAATAGTAGTAACCAATGATATTAAAAGGACACTCCACTGCCCAGATACAAAATATAAAAAAATCACTATTTGGTAGATATATTCCCAATGAAAACATACAAGAAGTATGCATTTTTTAATTGCGGTATTTTTAAAAACTGCTCGCAATAGGTGCAGATCTCTGCAGCCTTTGCAAGGTTTCCCTCTTTATATTATGAATTACTGATTGGTGGTTTAAGCCAATAACCTATTAATCCAATGGGTAACAAAGACAGGAAAATGCACAGGTTATAATAAAATAACAGCAGCTATAAATGACGATGCCGAGTAGTAAGAATATAGAAAATAGACACAACTTTTACTTATTTATGTGAACCCATCTAAATGTGATCTAACACATAAACTGAATTTGAAGTCAAACTTAAACACGGTTTGAAAAGAAAGATTCTACAAGAAATAGACTAATGCAAAAATATTTCTCAGGAAATTAATAAAAACAACCAACAAATCGATCTGTTATAATGTAACGTAGATGCCATGTTTCAACCAAATCATATATTTGAAAAGATGGAGCAGCTATCGCCAGCCTTTGACCTAAGCAAATATATCAGTGCAGGAGAATCAAGGGGAATGTAGTTAACAAGCCTCTGATGTACATAGGGTTGCCATAGTTCATGTGGCACATTAGCAATATGAGGATAATTAATTTGGCGTTAGCCATAGAGAGTTCCAAAATGAGTCAAGAGTCAACAATGGGGTTTAGTGGTCAAATAGGATTTTCCAAGCCAGATACATTGAAGCGGTCTCTCTTTGATCTCATTAAGAACCAATAACAATAGCAGATGAAACACAAGAGGTAAAGCTACTACCCTTTTCAGAGGTGAAAAAAGCATCAACAAACAACTACTTAATCAATATTTGGCCAGGGAGATTTAAAACAACCCTTTCACATTTCAATGCCTGGTTGTAAAACAACTGTAAAGCACCCTAAGATAAGCCATTAAAACAACTTAATTGCCTTTTAACTGTTCCCTTCCCTGTACAAGCCCAGGATTAACCCCATGTCTGCTGGATGGATGGAATCTATGAATATCCTATGAGGTTCTTTGCCTGCTGGGAGAATGAGTTCACAGCATAATATTGGCCAATAAGATTTTCAGAACTCCTTTTCCCATGGAATAAACCTACCTCCAGTAGGTTACATGAGCAATTGCTGTCAAAAGTTCAGTTAGGCTGAAAATCAGGTTTTTATTCATTTAAATGGGAAATGTGCAGAATGTACAAACACTGGCTTGAATTTAGAGAATTGCCATATTTAGAATGTAGCAGAATTGCACTGAATTGAAATCAGGGCTTATATTTTGGATAGTTGTTGATTGACCTATTGTTATTAGGCTGAAATATTATATACTATAATATTATATATAATATATTAACATTACTGATGCATGTTATGTGAAATGATATTAGAGGTTATTACTGTTGGAGATATTGTTATTGAGATGAACTAGAGAAAATTGCTGTTTTCCTTCATTTGAAAAACTGTCCTCTAGTCCCACATTAACATACAAATCATGCAGATTGTAACTCCCAGTGTATGTAGACTACAATCAGTGCATATACTGTGTGTTTTTGGTTGCTTAATCAGATGTGCTAAATGACAGGTAGACAGAGCCAGAAGCCTAAGCTTTATTACCCACTTATTCACTCCATTGGTTCTTAAATGAAGCAGAGAAAACATTGTAGCTCCATGTCCCAGACCTGGTGTGTGGATGGGGAGGTGATGGAGGAGTTACTGCCACACTGAGCCTTAGACACCTACAGGCAAAGGGAGGGAAGAAAGGGTTCATGCCACACTGAGCCTTGGGCACTAACACAAGGGAGGGAAGAAAGGTTTCATGTCACACTGAGCCTTGGGCACTGACAGAAGGGAGGGAGGAAAGGGCTCATGCCACACTGAGCCTTGGGACACAAGGGAGGAAGGAAAGGGTTCATGCCACACTGAGCCTTGGGCACTGACAGGCGAAGGAAGGGGGGGAGTGAGCAGTGCCATGAATGGGTATGGGTACTTAGACAAGAAGGGTGAAAACAAATTCATACCACATTGAGTATTGGGCAGCTGATGAGTTGGGGGTTATAAGTGACTGAATAATTATAGTATCTTCTGAAAATATTAAACACTGTCCTGTATTTCTGTTTAGTAGAATGGTGACTACCATAATTAACTCTGCAGACACCAACATTCTTTCCAGCATTGTTAGCACCTCTATAACACATAAATGGATACAAATGCTGGAATAATGATGCTCATTTAAGGAATTGGGAGCAGTGTGAAATCATGCCAGCTTGTTCTATAGTTTGTGTTGGGTCATCTGCAGTCAATTATCTTTCCCTATGGGGGGTGATTAGAATCGACGCACATTTAATGAGCTTATTGGGATGTTCAATAAACTGTCAATAATCAATTATAACAAGCAAAGGATTTATTTATAATTCATTAGTATCACCTGTGTTTAGGAATTGATTTAGATTTTTTTTTTTCAGTAAACTACAAGTACTGTGACATTTTAAACATCATATAATGCATGCCTATTATTAGTATTAGTATTTTATTATTTATATAGCGCCATCAGATTTTGTAGCGCTGTACAATGGGTCTATCGAGTTCTATACTTCTTTCATTCTTGCTTGTCATTGTTTTTTAGAGTCAAAATGACCTAGGTAGAGTACTTCTGCTTCTGTTAATATTTTACTTTATCTATAAATATAATGATTGAAATGTATATAAATACTGCATGCAGTTAGCATGAGAAAAATATTTTTACAAATATATAAAATAATTAAGACTTGGCACTATAACTTTGGTTACACTATATGATGATGTGCTGAGTGTAAAAAATGTTTTGTGGAGTAATTCATTTAGATATTGGTTTACACTTCCAGTTTTTCATGTAATCCCTCAAGGGGTAAATATAGTATACTGACTATGACCATGCTATAAATTCTCTCAGACACAGACACTGTAAATGTATTGGTGTTAATTCGTTAATTAATTGGAGAATGTGTATGCTAACAACATAATGGCTTGCCAGTAAAAAATCATCAAGTTTAATTTTAAAAAATAATAATTATAGCTTGAATAAATATATATTTTTTTAAAATAATAATTGATATCAATAAGATATATTAAAACATTTTGGTGCAGTTGTAATACTAATAAGTACATTTTATTTTTAAAAATGTTTATTTATATAACTTTTAGCAAATATTTTTATTATACATCATTATTATTATTATTATTATTATTATAAATAACTAAAATAAAACGTTAGTATTATTTTTGGATGATTTAATAACGAATTGATAATTTCATTGGGAACAAATTGCACCTAAAATCACATATTGCTATCCCGCAGGGTGTTGGTGAGCTCCTCACTGTCGTGATCAATATCGTGATAACCATCTGCCCTGACCAAACTCATCGGCACCTCTCAGAGCAGGGAACAAGTGTCTGATTGTCAGGATGGATGTAAATATTTAAGCTCTGGGCTGGTAGTCGCGTGTCCCCATCCTATGACCACACCAGACAAATATCTCCCCACTAAGGACACCGCAGGACTGATCACTGGTGGCTTTTGTTCACAGAAAAACTATATTTAATTCACCAATCTGATGACGTCTATTCTTTTTATTCCCAATACTTATCGAACAATGTATTATACAGGAATAAGTACTGAGTCTATGTTCACAGCTGCTATGTACTCTCGCTACCATTATTCTCAGCCAGACACGATAGGATCAGGAGTGTTCTGGCATTTCCCCATTTTCTGCTAACAAATACAGTAAATTAATCGTACAGGGCAGGCGATTACGTATAAAAAGCAAATCAGGGTCGACGTTCTAAAGGTGGAACATCACATTAGTTTCGTTGGTTATTGCTCCACGTTTAGAACGTTGGCCCAGAATTTAATTTTTTTATCAATAACTCCTCACTCATGTATTCTTTTAAACATTCAAATTAGTACTAGGATTGTAAACCAACACAGTTTAAAAATAATTTAAACTAGAAATAAACTTTATACATACACTATTACAAAACCCCCAGATACTGGTATCCAACAATTGCTCCTTAGTCCAAAATCAATCCAACTCCTGGCTGCCTATTAAATCACTCCAACAATGATGTACGCTAGAGCAATGTGGAAAATAGTGGACTAGAAACCCCATCACACTCAGTTGCACTGTAAACCTGCTGCTACACATTACATACCTTTTAGATCACTCACAGATTGTTTTTTAGACTTTTAGTTAACCTGAACCCATCTTAATCTGAATTGTACATATTTTACAGGCCTGACACTTATTAAACCGGCAGCCAATGCCAGTCTAGGAAAATACATCTTGTCCACATTGTGCAATCACATTCAGTTTAGTGGCTGTAAAAGGGTTAAATAAAATTAAAAGAATAAGGGGAGGTTGCAGAAATTTCACGAATGTTTGCCTGAGGCTAGAGAGGGCGGGTATAGTAGAAGATGAAAGTAAGTGAGGAAGAAAGGAGCCAGTTTAATCTGCCTACAAGAACTCTGAGATTGGGGAGAGTTTGCACAGAGCCTATTGGGGCAGAGCGCCTGACCAGGGCCAAATGCATTGTGACGCCGCCTGGGGGCCAGTTCCACTCTGCATGGGGGAAACAGAGAGGGCCATTCACATGGCAGGCCTATAATACACTCAGAGGAGCTATAAATGTCATACTGAGCAGCTACAGAAATATTTAGAGGACCCAATTCATGTTCAAAGCAGACACATAGAGAAAACAGGTCTTCCCAGTTACTGTATGGGAAATCAGTTTCCTTATGGTAAGAGTGACCTGTAGTGGCCCTTTAATTAGGGACACTTATAAAAGATCCATCCTGCAGGGCAGTGATTAATTCAATACAACCCTGCAGTGTAGAGTTTTATATGTGTCCTGAGCAATGCATGGGAGCTCTGTGTAGTGGTTAGAATGCAAGTCATTTTACATGGTGTTATTATATATGGTGTAGCTATATTTACAGATACAAATTATGCAATAAGTATAGAAATTAAATACACTGTCAACATAGAAACAATGTACAACGGTCTCACAGACCCTATTGGATGGTCGAATAGAAACATACAATCCTCTACAAATCTATCATAGATACATTATTGCAAACCGAAATTACAAATAAAATTATAACCTGGGGTATAATTAAAGAAAAGGCCATTTTACAAGAGGATTACTCATTTAATTATCGCCTCTCTATAGTAAAGACGGGTTCTAGTGTAAACGTATGATTGGAGTCTATAGTAAATGACTTAAAACTAAAGCCTAGGGCTCCCCTGGCTGGGATAATCTAGCATTTTGTTCTATTTCCCCAGAGGCAGTCACTGGGCAGATACTGGGAATCCTTGCACAGGGTACATTGTAACTTTACAGAATAGAAACAAACTTGATCCGTTCCCTGTTCTTATTTGCCTTTTTGTTGTCTAAATCGCTGTGGATTTTAGTTTACAATAAAGGGGATTAAATTAAACATTGCTGTTCTGGCAGCGAAAGGGTTAATCAAAGGAGGACGTTATGAAAGTAGCTTTCTACAATAGATTACACTTATTAACTGTATAGGATAGATAGATAGAGAGAGAGAGAGAGAGAGAGAGAGAGAGAGAGAGAGAGAGAGAGAGAATAGATAAAATAATGTGAATGTTAGTTTTTTGAAGACACAGAATAGTAATCGTAGCCTTTCCCAATGAGCTGTAAATGTATTTGTCTTGGGGGAGTATTTACTAAACAGTGAACTATGGTTGATTGACGATTGAATTGCAAAACGTAGGTCAAAATACTCAGTTTTTAAAAAAAAATCCTCTCTATTTAGTTTAAATGTAACCAGTCGTTTCAACTCCTTATTTGGTGGATCCACCCCATAAATTGGAGATTTATTTATAACCTGTTATTTTATCTTACATTTTGTATATTATTTTGCATGTCAACCCAATTCACTATTTTTTAAATAGGACAGAAATCTAGCTATTTTTATTCGTCACTACTGGAACAATATAAGAAGCTGATATATAATTATCCTGATCCTGATCTATTATTACCATCTCCATCACAAACTGTAATATGGCAGATCGGTGACGTTATAATAAATGGCAGGATATAATGTACTTATAGTCACTCACTAGGAGGCCGTAGATTTCTATTAAGTGATAGCTAATCTGATGTTCACAATGTAACCAGTAAATAAATCATGCAATACTTTATCCTTCATTCTCTGATTCCTTCCAGAAATGATTCTAACAATAAATCTAAGCCCCCCTGCCCCCCTTACACAGCCACTAGTCACTGCTCTGTGTACTGGAGAGAGCTGAGGGGTTAATTTGGGGAATGTTGCTGGAATCAACAGAACTACAAGAGTTAACTTTATACTTTTGCAGAAAAAATAAATAAAATCAAGAGAATTAAAACATTTAAAGCTTTTTCCAGCCAAGCTGGTGGCATTTATTATGTAGACTTTAGAAAGATTTCTCTGCAGTTGGGATTAAAATCAAAAACAGAGACAAGAAGTTCAGACTGTATTTCTCAGCCTTTTAATAATATTCATTTGTTCTTAAGCCAGCTATTTGAGTTCAGATGCTGTGAGTGTGTATATGTATGTGTACCCATGCTGTGTGTTATGTGTATATGCTGTATGATTATATTTTTGTTTATATACAAGTACAATGTAATAATAATAGCAATACTATTAATGATAATATATTACATCTTAATTAAATATATTGATGTATTTTTCTCTGTCTGTCTGTCTGTTTATTCAGTCTGTTTTAGTAATTAAATGTTTTAAATATTTTTTTTTCATTTAATTTTCCAATGCAATAGAGCTCAGCATGTTAACAGGTTTGTGCACTTTACCAATTTTTTATAATGTACATAGATTCTCTGAAAGGTCAGTGACATCCTTATAAATAATTGTAAATATGCATGCAATGCAAAGTACTCGTCCCTAATTATCAAGAAACCCCGGTTTTCTTGCAAGTAGTGATGCCATTTGGTTACCTTAAATCATAATTGTATTAACAGAAAAAGACTAACAGAAACTAAATGTAATTTCCCCAGGAACAAAACAAATATGAACTACAACTTGGTAAAAAAGAAACTAGAAGGGGCTTATTCACTAAACAGTGAGATGCAGTGCGTTAATAATCGATTTTAAAAACAAATCGTATAAAAATAAGGTTTTCTAAGTCGGTGTATAACTCGTCACAGCTCGATTTTTAATGATGAAACTCTGAGGGATAGTTTTATTGAGTGGATTTTATTAATGATAGGGGGGAGGAGATTAAAATATTGTTTTATGGAAAATAAAAGAAATATATATTAATCTGTATGCATATATAGCCCTACATCCCTATGTATCCCTATATCCCTTTCCAGATATGGGCAAGTACTTATTTGTAGTGGAACTTTAGTGTCAAACCAATCAGACTATAATTTTGAATAAGAACCAGAAATGTAAAATCCACCTCTCCTCCAGCATGCCAAGGGTTAAGAGCCATAGAGGTCTTCTCACATTTTGTAGGTGAAAATGTCCCTTTCTCTCTTCACTGAAGAGTCCATAAAACTCTCAGTAGCAGTGCCTATTGAATTATTCATCCCTTATTGCAAGCCCATAATGTCTTTTCTGGGGCCTTTGTGAGTTGCTTTCACACTCCATTCTCCAGGAATTATATAAAAAAAAAAGGCAGGCCTTCCTTTGTCCCCACCAGGCTGCTTCTAGCTGAAGCTTTGTCTGGGCAGAGCTAAAGTGTGAGTTTCAATGGACTCTCCTCCCTTTGTTCCACAAGTTCATCTCCAAGTGTAGATTGTGTGTGGAGAGGCTCTTTTGTCATCAATGGAAAAGTTGTACAAATGTTTGACCAGCTCAATTTGGTGCTTTCTGTCCCCTCCGGTGCCTATAGGGAGACCCAGCAACATGTCCCAAAGCACTCACTAAATATCCAGAGACCCCAGTACAAAGTCTCAACCCACAGAACACAACACTGTCTGTAGGATAAGGTGAGCCCACATCTGCTGCCCATCACATTACTATCTGGGAAACAAGCTAACTCTTCAGCAAGCTCATTTCATTAACCAAACAATAGTTTGTTTGTTTTCCTATCGCTCTCTCTTTCCAATCCCCCTCTCTCTCTCTCTCTCTCCACTTTCTCAGATCTCTCCTTTCTTTCTTTTTTTTTTTTTTTTGTTTATACAGTATTTCAATGATTTAAAACAATAAGGTGAATTTAAAAAAAACCCACAAAATAAAATAAACATACTAACTATAAAAAAAGTAAAAAATAAACAATGTCAAAATATCTTCTTTTCCATTTTTTTTTTAGTATACACTTTCATCTTCAAAATGTATATTCACACAATACCCTTACGTAAAGACACTTACACAGACAAACACACAGTAAGTTTCACATTGTGTAAGCTTCAAAAAGATACAGGAGTCTAGAATGTGCTCAGGACACTGGCTGCTAATTAATGAATTTGTTTAATGAAACCTTGTTTATTATTGGGGATCCCAGGCTATATGTAACATTTCCCCTTTAGTACTCTTAATTCCCTTACATAGTACTTAGTCACTGTAAGAGCTCAATGGGAAATACAAGACTTCTGTTTCTAATTTACTGTAGGACAAATGTTTCTGTTGGAATTGAATTATTATCAAAGCTCCCAAAACAGCTGAAATAAGTTTGTATATTTTCAAGGAAGTATATCATTTCAATATACACCCCTTCAGTGCTGCAGGAACACTGGAGAGCACCGAAGGGGTTAATGTGAAGTCATTTAATCTGCCATCTGAAGATTTTTTGCTTTAATGTACAAAATGATCGCAGGCATTGGGCAGGTTAAGAGGGGGTCAGATCATCGTTTGAGATATATTTAATATCACTTTTAGAGGAAATCGGTGAGTTTGAGTGTTTCCTCCAGTCCTTGACTAAACTAAATTGGGATCTCCCGAGGTTTCCCATTGATGTCTAAAACTAATCTTTTAGACTCGGTAAAGTTGCTTTCTTTTTTTTTTCTCCCCCTCAATTTCTGCCCCCTCCAGCTTCCCCCCTCCCCACCCCTCACAGACCACTATCTACTCCAGCAATCAATAGCAGGGCTGAATTACAATACACAGGTCCCTAAAGAGGTAAACGAAGAAATAGAGCCTCTTTGATCTCTGCTAATATGTGTAAATTATTGATCTGACACCTTAGTTACACATTTACCACCAATTGCAGCCATAAACACCTTAGGAATTAGAGCATTGTATCTAGAATGGAAACACAGTCTAGGCTTCATTTTCTATCTCTTTGTATTGCCTCTGGTTTGTTTTTATGATTGTTTATATATATAGTGTTGGAGGTATTTTTTTAAATTATTTTTTTTGTTGTTGGGGGAGGGGGCAGGGAGGGGTTTATCGTCTTCTTTTTGTTTAACCCTATTTCCTCTTTCTCCCCTATTCCATCCAAAAACCAGAAAAGCAACAGGTTTCTTTAATATACATATACAATAATAAAAAAATTAAAATAAACACTACGAAAGACCTGTAAATACATATTTGTAATATCTTACATTCCATAAGCAATCTTAGAAGTATCCCAAATATTTTAGACACACAATTAAAATGACAATACGCACATCCATTGATTGCAATAAATGATCATATAATGTGTAAGACTTGCACATTAATTAGCTGCTATTGAAACATTGTATTATATATATATATATATATTTAATTGGCGATTTTATATAAGCAGGGCTATTATTCTGTTAAATCGTGATATTACTACTACATACTACATATAGCAGGGTGGGTGCACTGTACCTCTCTCTCTTAGGATGCCATCAATGCTGTGTTTTGTCCTCTTTTCGTGTTCCTCCTGCTCTTTTCTTTCCATTTCTACATCTTCATCTTCCCCTTTTCCAAATTTGCTCCTCAAAATTCGACTTATAGAGCTCACTAGAATTAGGTGACAATGTGTGGTTAGATACATGTCCCCTGGATTCCAAGCTCAGAGAGGATAATTGTCGTTTCTTAATTGTTGCCAGGTTTAGAATGTTAATAAATTTGAGTTCAGTCGTGGCTTATTCACAAGTCCACAGCGAATTGTGGTGAACTGAAAATCGAATTATTTTAAAGAAAAAAAGGTGCTGATTTGGGAAAATCATCTAGAGATACAGTTTGGCTAGTTTAGCCTACATTTTTCAGTTTGGTTTTAAGCTCGCTAGAATTCAAAGGGCTGATTTGAAAAATTAAAGGACAAAGTTAGAAATTATGTCCAAACTTTTCTAGAATCAGAGATATTTTGTCACCAACTATTTCAGTGTAAATTTTTATCGTCTGTCCATTCAGAACAATTCGCTGTTTAGTGAATACAGTCCAAAGCGAACAACCCATTCATTTTTAAACTTCTTTTTTTATTTTTTTATTTTCTTACAAATTATTATTTATTTATAAAAAAAATTTTTTAGTCATAACGGGGATATTTATAATTCGGTCTTTTTTTTTCCATTATGTCTATTTATGCATCTATCCATTCCGAATCAGCTACACAAATAAAATAGAGAATTTAAAATTATAACTATATTAAAACTTCTCTTCACATTTCTCGCATATGTCCTTTTTATTAATTAGTTTAAAAATATAAAATACAAGTTGTTGTTTTTTTTACATTGATTAATTAATTTTGTACGTAGAAATATAAAGTTTGCTTTTAAATAAATATACGAGTTTATAAAAAAAATTTAATTATCCTGGTGAAGTATATTTTGTGTAATATAATTTATTTTTCTAAAATTAAAAATAAATCAGGAGGGCATTTACAAACTTCAGGCATGAAATATTTATTTTATTACTCTGTTTCTATGAATTGAGCGTTCAGTCTTATTAATTGGTTTAAATTTGCTCCATGGTTATAAAAGCATTTTAAAGGTTTTTTTTTTTTTGCTGTGTCCACATTAAGCAGCGAGGCAATTAACTGCATTTTATGATAGCCCATGAAATAATGCAGACTGTGATTAATATTTCATTGCTTTAGATGGCTCCAGAGGAGTCCAGTGTCTCCACAGAGCAGCAATCAATATTTTTTTATTGCCTAAGTGATTTGCCCGCTTTAATAGAGATGGATAGGCTTTATTATAAATATTAATGGGTGTAGTACCTGAAGGAACGGTATTTCGATCACATACTCCGTCCTTAAGTAATTTATCTCGAATTTCCCAGCTGAACATACCCGGGTTATCTCTTTTAAATTCTTCAATCTTTTTTTCCACATCTGGTGTAGTCACCTGCTTTAAGAGGAAAAAAAAAAAAAATGAATATCCTATTTTGGAGTTTATTAAGTAAAGCATAGATCAATCCCACCAGCTGTGTGTATATTATAGATACGAGTAACAGAAATGCATATACATTTAACAAAGTGGGAAATGGAAAAAGTCAGTCCTTAGGCAATTATTTAAAATAAAAAAATCTCTTTCCATACTTTTTTTTTTTTTTTTTTGGTTGCAGTTTTTCTGTGAATTTAGAGGCTGTGAAGATTCTGAGATCGAGTTACATAAAATGCCACAAGTAGAAAAGTATTTTTGTGCTTGGAATGAACTTTGGGGAAAAAAAATGCTAAACAAGAAAAAAAGGAGAGAGCTATATTTAAATGTACAGGACTGCTTGTAAAATACTACTGTAAATTCCTGTATCTAAATTATTCAAAAAGCCCAGTAAATGGAATGATTAAAAACAACACATTTTCCCTTCTTAGTATCATTAACCAGCGATACTTTTATTCTGTAAATTACAAATACATTGTTGCTGTATAAATACACGAATGTACATTAAAATTAATATTAAAATTAATATACAAGACTATTACACAACATTCTATAGAATTGCAAAACATGTTTTTATACGAATATGTAAAACTTGTGGATAACCTAATTTATGTCTAAATGTACAATAATACAGTAAGATCACGTTAAATCGTTTGAAAAGTAAATGTGCACAGTGGAAATATAATTACAGGAAAAGCATATGTCAAAATGCAAGATCAATCTTTCATCCATTTGCTGACAGGGCTGAGGCAAAGGGTGAGTGTTAGCTGGGGTCAGGTCAAACTCAGTTTTCTGCGTGTAATGATGGTAAGTCAAGGGGAACTGACCCTGGTAATGTTTGTTTATTTACTTGGGATCGTCTCATTACTCTTATCTTAGCTGAGGATTCCTAATAATCCTCACAATAAGGACTTGGTATATTCATACAGCTACTGGAAGGAAAGACCCAGTGGCAATTGATTATTTAGCCAATGATTAGGTAAGTCACACCTGCTCAGTATCCACAGGTAGTCACACCTGCTCAGAGTCCACAGACAGTGACTAGTTATGTCACACCTGCTCAATGTCCATAGCCAGTGACTAGGTGCTAATTTATTTATCTAATACCTGCTCAATGTCCATAGCCAGTGACTAGTTGCTAATTTATTTATCTAATACCTGCTCAATGTCCATAGCCAGTGACTAGGTGCTAATTTATTTATCTAATACCTGCTCAATGTCCATAGCCAGTGACTAGGTGCTAATTTATTTATCTAATACCTGCTCAATGTCTATAGCCAGTGACTAGGTGCTAATTTATCGAATACCTGCTCAATGTCCATAGCCAGTGACTAGGTGCTAATTTATTTATCTAATACCTGCTCAATGTCCATAGCCAGTGACTAGGTGCTAATTTATTTATCTAATACCTGTTCAATATCCATTGCCAGTGACTAGGTGCTAATTTATTTATCTAATACCTGCTCAATGTCCATTGCCAGTGATTAGGTGCTAATTTATTTATCTAATACCTGCTCAATGTCCATTGCCAGTGACTAGGTGCTAATTTATTTATGTCACACCTGCTCAATGTCCATAGCCAGTGACTGGGTGCTAATTTATGTCATACCTGTTCAATGTCCATAGCCAGTGACTAGGTGCTAATTTATTTATCTAATACCTGCTCAATGTACATAGCCAGTGACTAGGTGCTAATTTATTTATCTAATACCTGTTCAATGTCCATAGCCAGTGACTAGGTGCTAATTTATTTATCTAATACCTGTTCAATGTCCATTGCCAGTGACTAGGTGCTAATTTATTTATCTAATACCTGCTCAATGTCCATAGCCAGTGACTGGGTGATAATTTATGTCATACCTGTTCAATGTCTATTGCCAGTGACTAGGTGCTAATTTCTTTATGTAATACCTGCTTAAAGTCCATAGACAGTGACTAGGTGCTAATTTATGTCTTACCTGCTCATTGTCTATATGCAGTGAGTAGGCATGTGCCAAGTGTTCCATATCCATAGGCAGTGATTAAGTAGATCCCATCTTATCAGTGCCCATAGGCAGAGCCTGCTTACTGACAAAGCAATTACCTACATAGATCTCACAACAGATAGAAAATACAACTGGCCCATGCAGTATTTTATTTTTATATATATATATGTAAGGCTAGAGGAATCCTGCTGTCTGTCTGTGTCCATGTCCTGCCCACACTTTGCCCTCTTGTAACATGGCACCTGTAGCACTGCCCTCACCTTGGGCTTGCTTCCCCCGATGGCTCCCGGCCTGATGGAGCCGGTCTCTTGGTACCGGCACAGAATCTTGGAGACGCAGCCGTGGGACACCCTGAGCTGGCGGGAGATGACGCAGGGCCTGATGCCGTGGTGGGCCATCTCTACGATCTTGTGCCTGATGTGGTTAGGCAGCGGCCGGCCATTGATGAACACTCCCCCCAGCTGGTTCACTCGGCCTTGGCCTAAAGGAGTGGACACTGTATGTTAAAAAGAGACAGTAAACAAACAGTTAATCACTGTGCAGACAAATATTGCATGTCATTATATATTGTATGTCATTGTATATTGTGTGTCATTAAATATTGTGTGTCATTAAATATTGTGTGTCATTATATATTGTATACCATTATATATCGTGTTATTAAATATTGTGTGTTATTATATATTGTGTCATTATAGCTTGTATGCCTATTAAATATTATGTCATCATATATTGTGTGTCATTATATATTGTATGCCATTATATATCGTGTTATTAAATATTGTGTGTCATTATATGTTGTATGCCATTATATATTGTATGCCATTAAATATAGTATGTTATTAAATATTGTGTGTCATTATATATTGTATGTCATTATATATTGTGTGTCATCATATATTGTATATGCCATTATATATAGTATGCCATTATATATTGTATGTCATTATATATTGTGTGCCATTGCAAATTGTATGTTATTTAATATTGTGTCATTATATATCGTATGCCATTATATATTATATGGCATGACATCTTATTTTATTTATATCACATATAGAGTTTTAGCTATAAACTGATAATGCAATTAATAACAATGATGATAATAATAATAATAAATAATAATAATATATTGATTAATAGGGTATTTTAGAATAATAATTCTACTGTTTTCGTTTTACAAGAACGGTCTATCTGTCTGTCTATCTATTTATCTATCTCACAATATCAAATCAATATATATTTATATATTAAATTACCTTTATTGTTTAATAAAAATAAAAGGATAAAAACATGAAAAAAGCAATTTAAAAAAACATGTTTACATATGTATGTAATTATACATATATATGTACATAGAAATATGTGTGTGTAATGCCTAATGTATTTATTAGATTAATATATACATTATAAAAGCATGATATATATGATATATGTATTTGTGTATGTGAATATATATAGTCATCTATCTGCCGAATTAGCCTATTTTTTCAGACAGGTAAATAATACTTTCATTATGCAATATATAAGTTATTATGTAGTTTAATGGTTTGTAGCTGTGAGTGTAGTTAATGTGTATAACCTGCCAGACAGTAGGAAGGTCTCTGGAGTTAGTAGACATGTAATAGGCAGACAGCATGCACCACTGTCTTTCTACTTTCATAAAATAATCATTAGCTAATCCAAAATGTATACAGATAGGACCCCTCCCGGGATTGATGAAATGGGCCTCCCTTCTACATGCTGAAATAATGTCTGGGACTTAAGTACAGTGACGTATATGATAGAAGAAAAGAAAACACGGGTACTGTATATATGCACAGTTAGTGTACACACACATATGGAATCCTGGCATTCCTTTATTTATTAGAGAATGCACTTTACATTTGCTAACTGGAAATGTCTTGTTGTATAACCGATAGGTTTGTAAGTTTTATAAGTTTATCATTTTAAAGTAACTGTGCCTGGTTTTATTTTTTTTTATTGTGTAAACCCATAAACGAAAAAAACTCACTTTAATACATTTTGTTAGATACAAAGTCGATATATAGATACATAGATAGATAGATAAATAGATAGTAACAGTAGAGACAGCTATATAGATAGATAGACAGATAGATACATACAGTAGAGACATATAGTTAGATAGATAGATAGATAGATACAGTAGAGATAGACAGATAGATGGATAGATAGATAGTTAGATAGATAGATACAGTAGAGATAGACAGATAGATGGATAGATAGATAGTTAGATAGATAGATAGATAGATACAGTAGAGATAGACAGATAGATGGATAGATAGATAGATACAGTAGAGATAGATACAGTAGAGACAGACAGATACATAGATAGATAGATAGATAGATAGATAGATAGATAGTCACCTTCCAGAGGGAATCCACCGCGTGGATAATTCTGTCCAGGCGCTGGTCTCATCATTCTTGGCATAGCTCCAGCCAGGCTTGTCATTTTTGGTTATATGTCCCAATATTAGATCCAAGTGGCTGTTGCAGATTGCCAGATGCCCCTTCCTGCCTGGGTACAGGCTAGCTCGCCCTGTTGCTCCCTGGGTGCAGGCTAGCTCGCACTGTGGCTCCCTGGGTAGAGACTTGCTTGCCCTGTGGCTCCCTGGGTAGAGGCTTGCTCGCCCTGTGGCTCCCTGGGTGCAGAGCAGAGGGTGCAGTGAGGCAGTGTGCTGGCAGTCTCCCTCAGACAGCTCCTTGTTGTTGATGTGGAGTGAGAGAATCCCTCCTCTGGAGTATTTATTACTTCTTTCAACCAAAGCTGCATCAGGAGCACTGAGCTGCTATTGGCCAGCAAGGGGCCTGTCCCGTCTAGGGAAGGCGTCTCTGATTGGTGGGAACATCTTCCTCTCTCTTCCCATCTATTAGAACTAAGGCCTCTCTGTGAGAGTCACTCTGAGCACTCTCTCTTCCTGCTCTAGTGTCTCTTATCCTAGGCTGCCATGCCCAGCAGCAGCCATTTAACCCCTTACTGGCTGCTGAAGAAGAAGGATGATTGCTCCACCTCACAAAGGGTTAATATCCCTACCCTTTCACACTAAACCATCCACCTTGTCTGAGGCTGTGCCAGTCTCTCCCTGTCTGTTACATGTCTCTCTCTCACACTTTATGAGGAGGCTCAGTGAGTACTGTGGGGACTGGGAGACACTTTGTAGCAGAGACAAGCAGTGTGACTTTTCTTCCAGAGTGGGTGTATTTTCACATAGCATTTGTTGAAAGGAATTTATAGTAGCATTCAGCCCCAAGTCCTGGATAAATAAAAGGAGAAGAGTTTAGGCAGTGGATGGAGGATCCACAGCAGGAGATGACGCCAGGAAGGTTGTAAAGACTGTCTCTCTTTAAATAAGGTGCCATTGTGAGTGTGCATTTATTTATAACATGGTAAGTGCTAGCTAACTGGCCCTCTTTAGACATACAAGCACAGCCCTCTAGAGCTCTCTTTATTTGCAAAAGTCTATTCAAGTGACTGTCACTCTTACCACTGAAGTCATTCACAGCTTTAATCAATCAAAAGGACGAAAAACATTCAGGTTTTGCCTTTGAAATAAAAGAGACAATGACTTCTGGGTTTAACCCTTAAGGTGCTAGGGGGGGGCTGCAACAGGTCACGAGGCAATGGGAGAAAGTTTCCTCTCTGGTCACTGAACGGTTAAAGTCTCCTTATTATAACCCCCCATATATATATATGTATATAGCTTTGAAAATTGTAACGTAATTTCCCTCAAAAAAACCCCCCTGCTGATTAATGTTCTCTTGTTATCGGGATTTCAGATGTTTTGTTTTTTTTTCATCAGTTTTTCAACAATCTGATTGCAAACTTCAATAACTTCTTTGAATGTACATTGGAAGAATACAGCCTATATTTATTTTGCGTACATATAAATGGGGGGAATTTATAGTTCCTGTATTCTTTTTTTTTTTTTTTTTTGTATATCGTTTGTACATTTGTTTTATTTTGGAAGTTTTTTTTTATTTTCTATTTGTTTAATAATAAATTATCGTTTGAAAGAATTTTAAATATTGTATCAATACACTACATTTTACGTCTGTATGTGCAAAATAGAGTGTGTGATGAACAGAAAAAGAGAGAGGGGAAAAAAGAGAGAAGAGAGAGAGAGAGAAAGGTTGAGGGGGGTTTGCAGAGGGTAAAAGGAGAGATATTGTAAATGAAGACTTTTGACGTTATATTATTATTATAATTATTATTATTATTATCCTCCATGCAGTTGTAATCATTGCATATGTAGAGGATGCCGTAGGATGCAGTTGAACAGATCCAGAGCTCCAGTGACTGTGAGAGGATTTCACACCCGTGTAAAATCACACACTGACAAGTGGAATCTCAACTCGTGGAATTCCAAGTGATCCATGTCAGAGTATGGAAAATCGCAGCATGTGCCAAAAACCGCTGCTATTACTTTATTTGGGGCTGAATACTCCTTATTTGTGATTTTATGGAATCTGCAATCCTACCCATTTAACCCCTTCCTCCCCGTCTTACTTCAGCTCTCTCTGAGCATTTTAACCAGCGTTGATTATATAACAGTCAAGATTAGTTTGACATGCAAAGATAAAAAAGGTTAGATACATTATTCCACAACCTACAAGCTGTGACCAGACCAACACTACGGAACTTCATAAATACAGCGATCCATCGCTTTTACAGCATTATATCATTTTTAAAATTATTATTTTTAACCACATTACGTTAATCAGCGAGCTCTTTAAGACCTATTTTGGAATAGGGTACCTTGCATTGGTAAATAAATGAGTAGATAGAAGGACAGACAGACAGAGAGACAGATAGATAGATAGATAGATAGATAGCAGAATTGCATTTATGTATATTTTATGTATGGCATTTGAACTCTTTTAATTGTGTTTTTTTACTTAGATGGATAAATTTTTGTTATTAAAATGCTACATTTAGGGAAAGCCACCAGACTTCCCAGCCTAAATCTCACCTCTGGGAGACGTTTTCCTCATGTTTCAAACGTATAAATTGTATTAAAAGAAGGCACTGAGCATATTTTTTTCCCATCTCAGTTTTTAAAGTTATTTTGATCTTTATTTACAGACACGTCCCTCTTTCTGTATACTATATGTGTATTTATATATAATAGCACACACATGCACACACTTTCCTACTGGAATATAAGCATATATGGCCCAGTGGCTGGGATTCATTCAGTACTAATTAGCTGTAATGTTTATCATGTTAAAACACTAATTACAGTTTACATTGGAAGCTCAGGACAGTATTTCTTCAATCTGTATCTAATATACCTTAGTTAATAATTAATCATTAATTCAATAGTTTCTTAATTTTGTGAACTGTAAAATTCAGACACTTTTATGTTTTTTGCTTTTTTTTAATAATCTATTCTATAATTTTGTTCTTACGAGTTGGGCCATGTTATTTTTCTTCCTGTATCAGTATTTATTTTGTATTCTTGCAGTAATATACATTGACACAAGGATTCTCTCAAACAACAGGTTGCTTTGAGTGCACTGTCTACCAATCAGTTCATTTTCTGGGATTTTGTACAGCTATGGCTATGAGAGGGCTATGGGGAGAGGAGAGAGGAACATTAAAATTGGGAAGAGACAATGGGGGGGGTGGGGGGGGATAGGGAGTGAGAATTGAGGGTGTGGGTGAATGGCGGGGGTGAGGAAGAATGGTGCGATAGAATGAGGACAAATAATTAGAAATAGGGAGAAAGATATATAAATATAGGCATTAAATAGTGAAATGATGGTCTGTTCACTAAACGGCAAATTGCTAACCTATGACAACTAACTTGCAAAATGTAGCCCATATTAGAATTGGAAAATATCCAGTTATTTTGAATTGAGAGATTTGTTTTTTCTCTCAATGTTTTATAACTTGGTGTTAAATGATACATGTCAATTAACTAATCACCAGGACTCCCTGTATAGATAATAGAATTGAGATGTGACAGCCATTAATAACATCAATATTCTATAAGTATCTGGAGTGAATAGCTTCGAAGTTTCTTGGGAGCTACAGACGTGTTTTGGTTGAGAAACTGATGTGATTGCTTGAGAAATACCCCATTATTCCCATTGTGATTTAGAAAGGGTGGTGTTACAGTAACTATAACTTAACACATTACACCGTTTCTAAACCATGGGAGGGAGTCATAGATAAATGCAGGTTTGTGGAACATTTTAAAGGTCAATTATACACCCACATAAATGGGACTTAATTACACTTCATTTTTTATGCCCAATTTACAGTTTTCTAATATTCCAATACACATTAATCGAATCTTTAAAAATCTCTTATCGGTTAGTTTGTAATAATATAGATTGCAATATGGTTGATACACTGGGAGAGTGCCAATCATTCTTCTTATCTTAACCTGTGACCCAGTAAGTGCTTTTGGCAACTGCAATTACTTATTTACTCTGTTACCATGGGGATTCCTAATTTTACTCATTTACATCTGTAATATAGTACATTTTACCAATCAATAAATCCTAGCATTTAAGAGAAGACACTTAAGATTTCTAGTAAATTAAACTGTATATATTTTTTTTAGAATCTCACACACCCAAATATATTTCATTTATCTAATCATTGTATATACAAATGGTATTAAATATTTAAAATTTGGAACACAGTGCAAAGTAAAAACGTGTCTTTTGGATCACTTCAAATAACTTCTAACATTTGCATAGGCTAGCCCCATTTTGTTCACAAAAAAATAATATATGACAACTTTTTGTTACTTTTTAATATAATAATATGCAGAATAATATTTAGCATTGAAATCACTTAAATTGTAAAGATTTAAATGGTTAATGTATTTACAATATTTATATTATCTATTTCATACTAATCCCAATTAAACAATTTTGTAAAACCCCTTCTAATAGCCATTACAGTATTGTACACCCTTTAAAAAAGGACTTTATGAAACTTGAATTAGTTGACAGAAGTAAACTAAAAGTAATGAAGATAATGGAAGATTGTAATTGTTGAGAATGGTAAGAAATGGCATCATTTTGAACAACAAAGAGGGAGTCAGTTGAAATATAATAAAATATATTTTTTTTACAGGGCAAATATACACAGCTTCAAGATTACATTGTTATTAATAGCACTATCTAATCTAACAAGGGTATTGACAGAGACTTGATAAAAAGAAATTTCACCTACATCGGCAAAAATAGTTATTCACAGTTGAAGAGTAAATATATGAAATTCAATGCCGTGAAAGGGTTTGCTGTCAGTTTCAATATTTACCTTCGGAAATGGTCAAGGTGTATTTTTACTAAAGCAGGATATACAGTTTTTTAATAATAATTATATAAATAATATTATTAATATTAACCTGTTAATTAAAGGAGAAATAGATTTGTATTTTTGCATTTAAAAGCAATGTGGTGTCTGATTATGAAGCAGAACTGGAAATCCCTTCGAGGTAAGTTTATTATCTTTCTCTTGGGTCATTAGACGCAACAAACACTAACTGAAAAATATTGGGAAATGACTAAGGACTTGCAAAATTTTAGTCAAAAGTAGTCATGCTGGAAAAATGCCTAAACTGAAGGTTTATTCATTCTGCTACTTTGTCTTAATTCTGCAGTTTCCTGGCCAGCGTCCTGCTTATGTGAATGGTACTGCTAGTCTCTTTTTTTAGATGCACAACTTGTTCCCTACTAAAGAGGGCATCC